CTGCACCTGTACCTCTGCTCTGCACCTGTGCCTCTGCCTGCACCTGTACCTCTGCTCTGCACGTGCGCCTCTGCTCTGCACCTGTGCCTCTGCCTGCACCTGTACCTCTGCTCTACACCTGTACCTCTGCCTGCAACTGTACCTCTGCTCTGCACCTGTGCCTCTGGTCTGCACCTGTGCCTCTGCCTGTACCTGTACCTCTGCTCTGCACGTGCGCCTCTGCTCTGCACCTGTGCCTCTGCCTGCACCTGTGCCTCTGCTCTGCACCTGTACCTCTGCCTGCACCTGTGCCTCTGCCTGTACCTGTGCCTCTGCTCTGCACCTGTACCTCTGCCTGCACCGTGTGCCTCTGCTCTGCACCTGTGCCTCTGCTCTGCATGTGTGCCTCTGCTCTGCACCTGTGCCTCTACTCTGCACACTGTGACTCTGCCTGCCTCTGCACCTGTGCCTCTGCCTGCACCTGTGCCTCTGCCTGCACCTGTGCCTCTGCCTGCACCTGTGCCTCTGCTCTGCACCTGTGCCTCTGCTCTGCACCTGTACCTCTGTCTGCACCTGTGCCTCTGCTCTGCATGCGTGCCTCTGCTCTGCACCTGTGCCTCTGCTCTGCATGCGTGCCTCTGCCTGCCTCGGTGCCGTCACACAGATCTCTGCGTGTCCTGTCTCTGGTTCCCATCTGTCTCCCCCTCTCTGACTTTCTGTCTGCTCCCCTCCCACCGTTCAGCACCTCAGAGCTTGGCTTCTTGTCATGTCAAATGCGAAAGTGAGCCCCAGCCCGAGAGCTGAGGCCCTTTGTAACCAGCAAGGGCTGAGCAGAGAAGATTCGGCTGATGAAAGGGTGTAAATGTCGCTTTCACATTCACAGATGCCCCAGAACCTTTACACAAAGAGATAATCAACAGACATTTCAAAGATGGGAAGTTTGTGCTGGAACGGGGCTGAGTGTCCACACTTCCCTGCCCCGCACCCTTCCCGCCTCTCCTCCCTGGTGCTCCGCTCTGCCCAGAGCTGCAGGGTAGGCAGCCCACGCCCATGTGGCCGTGCCTCCTGGCTGACTGTTCTTGTTGACACCAGGCCTGGAGTCCACAGGGGGCCCTGAGCCCACCCCAGGACTGGCTGGACCAGGCACCTCCAGGCAGAGCAACAGCCTCCTCTGAGCCCCCACCTCCCCCTCCAGGGCAGTGGCTGTTCTGAGGATCCCTGGTGGTGGAATCTCTGGCCTTTACCCTCCATGTCACCTGGGCATCTTCCTGCCCCATTCTCCCTCCAGTCTACAAGTGATTCTCCTCTCCCTGCAGACCCCCCACTTGTCAACCTGTCAGTGGAACCGCAGCCAGTGCTAGAGGACAACGTCGTCACATTCCACTGCTCTGCAAAGGCCAACCCAGCTGTCACCCAGTACAGGTGAGAGTCACTGCAGGGCAGGCACAGCCCGGCCACTGGCCCCACCCCCATGCCTATCTCATGGGCTGTAACTTAAGGTCAGCATCGTGGCCACAGTGCTGTCTGGCTCACAGTGGGTGCCCACTAGCCTCTCCCCGAACCACGCCCCCGCCCGCTGGTCTCCTTCATGCATGCATGCGTCCCTCCTCCACGCAGGCAGCCCAGCTCACTCCCTCTATTTGAACAATTTGTCCCCCATTTCTGCTGAGAGTAACAGAGGCTCAGAAAGAAGCTAAAACCACCAGGCAAACCAGCAAGACCAGAACCTGGATTCTGGTCTTGTCAATCTATTTGCTTGGGGAGGGAGGGATTCCTGGGACAGTGGGCCTGTCTCTGGGGTCATACATGCCCGTGGCCCCTGGGTGTCCCTGCTCACAACACTGATAAAAGCATCACTGCTTCTTACATGCTTGTCTCTGCCTTTCCATGGGGCATCTTGAAGGCAAGAACTGCAATGTAGTCACTCATGGGTCTCAGTGCAGTGCAGCATAGTGCACGGCATAGACTAGCTCCACCTTAACGTGTCTGACTGATCCATTACACACAGAGCTGCTCCTTCCTGCCGGTGCACCATCCCCACTCTAAATTCCAAGAGACTAAGTGATTTCGGAGGTGCTCAAGGGCAGACTCAAGAAACTCCCCTCCTTTCAGATGCATGTGGACCTGGCCACCTAACTGCCTCCATGTCTTCCACCACCAGACGGGACGCAGGTGCCCAGGGTGTCAGCTCTGCCATGGATCTGGGTTATTAAGTGCCAAGGATGCTAATGGCCCTGGACTAGGAAACAAGCTGGCCGGGGGAGTAGAGAACAGGGAAGATGAGACAGTGTGGCCCTACGGGCAGAAGAAAAGAAAATGGGCCAGAGATTCAGGTTGGACATAAGGAGGGGCTCCCTGCAGTGCTAGTGATTAAGCAGCACTAGAACAGAAGCCAGGAAGGGCATAGTCTATATCCCTGAGGATATTTTAAAACAAGATGAAAACCCATCTGTCCTGTCCGGCTTAACCATTCATTGGACGAAAAGCAGCAGAAAGATTAGATGACCTCCAGGGTCCCTTCCAAGCCCAGGACATCAGGCTCCCTTGAGTCATGGGGCCCATTCAGGTCCGGGGAGCACGCCTGGTTTGATTGGGTCTGGGATCTATTTGGAAGTGACCAAAGATGCAGGAGAAAAGCCTAGTAAGACGTCCTCTCTGAGGGCTTCCACACCGCACCTGCCAGGTCCGGGCTTCTCCGTACAAGTCAGCTTCTCTCCCCTGCTCCCAGCTCCCTGTTTGTGGTCCCTGAAAACCAGGTACAACTTGCCCAGCAAACACCTCTCATGCCAGTTCCCCAGGGTAGCCTCTCACATGCACTGACTCCCCATTCACCCTCCCAGCTGCCCCCAGAGACGAAGGGACACAACTTCCAATGTCCACTGACCCTCACTCCAGGCCCCAGGTCACCTGTGGGCATGGGGGCTGAGGGCTGCACAGACAGCAGGGTGGCGTGGCCCTGGCCCTGCAGCCTCAGCCCACAGGTCTGACTGCCCAGCCCACACCCACCTCTGCCCAGGATGAGCTAAGCAAACATCCCTGATTCCCAGGGTCAGCAACCTCAGAAAAGCAGGACAATAGTGAGAAGAGGAGGAGGTGTGAATCTGCTCAGGGAGGGCCTCATGAAGCAAGGTGAAAAAATGTTAGCAACTGCTGAGTCCAGGGGAAGGGAAGATGGCAGCTAATGGGACTCTTCTTAATGACTTTTCTATAATTCTGGAGTTTGTATTTTCCATCCTGTGGGATTCCTCCCTCTCCCTCCCACCCTGGAGTTCTCAGGCTCACAGCCCCTCCCGGGCATGCCGAGGGCAGCTGGGGGGCGAGAGGGCAGGGCTTCCTGCAGGTGCTCAGCAGTTCTTATCAGTCACCTTCCCTCCTGGCCTTCTGACTAGCTGGGGCCCTGAAAGCCTGTTAGTGCAGGGTCAGGCTCCCTCCAGGACCCCATAAATTGTCGGGGAGCCCTTCTGGCCCCCAGGGTAATGTGAGGGAGCCGGGTGGCCTGGGAAGATGCAGGCCACCCACAGCCGCTCGTCCCACCACTCCAGCGAGCTGTCATCTAGAGCCAGACGCCCACTCTAGATGCGATGTTAGGGCCGGAGAGGAAAAGCTGTGAGCAAATCTCATCACATCAGTGCACTCGTTTTCCTGGCTGACTCAGATGAGATTACAGGAACCTGTTTCTTTACTTCCATTCGTCTTCAGTGCTTCCTCCCTGTCCACCTGAGAGGCTGCCATCTCTGAAATAGAGCCCTGTGCTCTGCACCCCAGCACCCGACAGGGGACGTGGCTGGGCATGGGAGCTGCCCCTCAGCCACCCCGGGGGCCACACAGCACCAGGACCCCTGGAGTCCTTTCCTCAGAAGGTCTCTTGGTGGCCCCGGCAGACAGCAGGACGGGCACCACCACCTGACATGACACAGGGGCTATTTGAGGACAGACTGGAGACTGACATGCCAGGCCTCCTGATTCCCTGATATAAATATTTAGCCGTCTTACATTTGTTCAGACCAAATTAGACATTGATTGGGACAGGTTTAGGCTGGCTCCCTTTTACAGGGACTGGGATCAGGGTGAGGCAGGGGAGAGGCTGGGGAGGGAAGAGGGGCAGGAGGACACAGAGCCATGAGAGAGGAGAGGAAAGGGCGGGACTGCTCTGTGTTCCTGGCCCTGACCCTGTGGCCAGCTGTTCGGGTGCAGCGGTTTGAGTGTCCGTGTCTCTGGAAGGGTGCCCTCAGAGAGTTTTCCAGTGGGGGAGGGGATAGAGGAAGGGCAGGAAAGGACTGGCTGAGAGAGGTGTGAGCAGGGGCTGTCGGGGCTCCAGAGGCCCCTCCACAGAAGGCCTGGCCTTGGGCACCTGAGGACCCAGCCCCACAGCCGTCCTGCCCGCGCCCCGGGGAGAGGGTGGTTGGAGAATCCCTTCTGCCGTCCCCCGCCTCCACGGGAGGGGCGGGCGTGGGGCAGCGGCTGCACAGAGGACCAGGCCAGACAGCACCGCTCTGCCGGAACACGGATGGTATCTCCCAGCCAGCCTGAGCCTGTCCTCTGGGCTCTCCCTCTCTGGCTTCCTCCCCACCGCCAGGTCTGGGAGGAGGGGCGTGGCACCTGGAGCATTGGTTCCAGGCCTGCGGGGCCCCAGCAGTCCTCCTGCTGATGGCCGAGCAGGCCAGGCTGGGCCTCCATGACTTTCACGGTGACGGGCCCTGGAGGGGGAGGGAGAAAGCCCCGTCTTCTCCAGGCCCCCTGAAGAGGAAGGGAACAGGACCTGCCCATCAGAACAGCTCACTTGGGCCCAAGCCCACCCCGGCCCAGCCAGCTCCCTGCCTGGCCACCCCCTGCTCCTGCAACGTGGCCCCTCACTTCGACGGGAGAGACATTGGGGCTGGACACAGGTCCCCAACTGTGTTCCTGGAACTGAATTCATCTGCCTTAGGCAGGGACCGGCCTATTAAGTCTCGTCATTGAATTAAAGTTAGAAATTGCAATGACTCATGAGCAAGTCATAATGGTTTGATGGGAAGCTCCTTAAGCTCTCTGGGAGCTATGGTTTGCTGTGTTGTTAAGCTATAATTGTTATTATTAATCGTGTTCTTAATAATTACTCAATATTAATTCTCGATAACAACCCCACAAGGCCAGTCTAGGTGTGCAGCACGATGCAGAGAAGCGGCCATCTCTAGGGGCAGGCCACCAGGCTGGGGCGAGAGCTGACAGAGGGAGGGGCAGGAGAGAAAGGGGGCGCAGGCGGGCAGCAGGGAGCTGTGGTTCCAGGGGGCGTGCTGCAAGGTAATACTTGGGGAGGCCAAGGGACCACTCCAGCTCTGCAAAGACAAACACCCCAAAAGAGGCTTGAACTGCAGTGGGAGGAACCTGGCTAGGAGGTTTGCGATTTCAGAGAGTGAATGTTGTCTGCAATGGGATTAAACCAGGGAAATCAGAAAACTCTCCTCTCAGGCATCTGTAAGGAAAGCCCCACCTTCACACACATGCACATGCACACACTCACACATGCACAGACACATGTGTGTGTGCATGCACACATGTGCACGCCTGTGGTGCCCCAGCAGGCTGCCAGGTCGCTGGTCCAAGGTGGTGATCACACCCTAGGGCCAAAACCAAACCAAGCCGAAGGCTGCTTGGTTTCCCCTCTGGTGTGATACCAATTGGCTGATGGAAGGGCCTTCCTACCTGCCTCCCCAGACCAAACTTCGGCTGATGGAGCCGCCACCTCTGGCAGAGCAAAGCCAGGGCAGGAGGGCAGAGGCTGGGCGGGAACAAGAGCAAGTGCTGTCCCAGCAGGGACGCTGAAAGGACTTCTGGGACTGCAGGGGCTACATGAGGGGCCCACCCTGGGGATGAGAGGAGTCAGGATAGAGAGCTGAGGAGCCGGCAGAATGGGAATCTCTCTGGGGCCGTCAGGACCACTGGCCTACACCTCTCCTCCTGATGCAGCCAGCACTCCTGCTCCGTGGTGAGGAGACGGAGGCCCTAGGTCACACTTCTCCTACGGCATCTCGCCTGGTCTACAGACCAAGCTTCCTGGAGCCTCATTTCTGTGCGTGTCTGTGTCTGTGTCTGTGCACATGTATGCATGCATGTGTGGGCGTGTGCCATGTGACCCTGGCCTCTGGTCGCCCAGGACAGGCCCATCACGCAGCCCAGAGCAGACTGGCCAGGCTGTCTGATGTCCTTGTTTTCTGTGGGATGGATGCATCTGGCTCCAGAGTGGTGGCCTTGCCGTTTGACGACGACACCAGCCCCTTGGGATTCTGTTGCAGGTGGGCCAAGCGGGGCCAGATCATCAGCGAGGCATCTGGAGAAGTGTATAGGACCACGGTGGACTACACATACTTCTCAGAGCCTGTCTCCTGTGAGGTGACCAATGCCCTGGGCAGCACCAACCTCAGCCGCACGGTTGACGTCTATTGTGAGTACATGATTTGGGAGTCTCCCTGGGTGACCAGGCACCAGGTGGTCTCTGCCTAGGGCTGGAGAAACCCTGGCTAGATTCACTGCACACAAGAGAACCCTCATACTTCACAAGCTTGCAATGCCTGCCACTTTACACAACACATCCTCTTGTGGTGTTTCATGTTTATTTTGATCCCTATAATGACCTCATGAGATGGCCTCTCAACTCAGGCCACCGTAACAAACTACATAGACCAGGTGGCTCAGATGACAGAAACAGAGTGCCAGCGTGGGCAGTTCCAGTGAGGGCTCCTTTCCTGGTTTGCAGACAGCCGCCTCCTTGCCATGTCCTAACAAGGAGAGAGAGAGAGGGAGGAAGCTCCCCAGCGTCTCTTCTTTCTCATAAGGCCACTGATCCCATCAGGAGGGCTCCACCCTCATGACCTAATCTCCTCCAAAAGGCCCCACCTCCTAATGCTAGCCCACTGGGGTTAGGTTTCAACAGATGAATTGGGGCGGGCACCAGCCTGCAGTCCTTCATAGGCAGGTGAAGGACTGCCTTCATCCCATACTCTGGATGAGAAGATGGAGACCTGAGAGCACACAGCGAGTAAGCGGCAGAGTGGGAACCGAGTCATCGCCCGTCCACACACTACTCTGCTTTCCTCTGAGGAGACTCACGGGCACGCCCTCCTCACCGGTGGCCTGGCAGGGACCACAGCAGGCAGCCCATTGCCATGGACGAGCTGGCTAGATACATTCAAAATGATAATCCTGAGTTCATGCACTGCCCTTTACAGTTTTAAAAGCACTTTCACAAACTTTTTATCTGACCCTCCCACTCGCCGGACAGCCTCAACAGAAGCACATCGCACACTGCGGGACCACTCTCCCTCTCCCGAGCCGGGTTTCAGGCTCCCCGTGCTCCCTGAGAGGAGCACTCCAAGGCCCGCCTGGCCACAGCTCAGGGTCCCCGGGCCCAAAATCCCACCGCTGCGCCCCTCTGACCAAGGCTTGGTCTGCAGGAGGCTGTGGCTGTGCTGGCAGAAGGTGGAGGTGCCCCGTGCACCCTCCAATGCCTAGCAGAGGAGTGGGCACCAGGACCAGGGCTGTCTGCTCCAGCAGGCTGAGGAGGAGGCCGGAGCCTCTGGACTAGGAGGGCAGCCTAGAGCAGTGGGGGCAGCCCCACCCTCCACTCCCATCCCAGAGCCCCCAGCCCACCTAGGCCACTGCAGGGAGCTGGGCTGGTGCCTGGGGAGGCTGAGGCAGTGGGAACTGACTTGAGGCATGAGAGTCTCAGGCCCAAGATTTCCAAGGCAGGAGGAAGCCCCCCACACACACACACACAGAGATGAGGGCCTTCCGCAGCCTTCCCAACTCAGGTGGGACCAGGACAGAGGGGAGGAGAAGGGACAGCCCTGGTGGTATAATCCAGACAGAAACTGGGCCCAATCGCCGTTGCCAGGGCCTGTGCTCCTACATCCTCGGTAGGCCTGAGAGAGGCTGAGCTTAGGGCAGAGGGTCTCATCCTTTCTCCCAAGTCCCTCTCCTAGACCCCAGGCCCAGCCCGGGAAGAGGACCAAAGTGTAAGGCAGTGGGCTGAAGCGGATCGAGCTGGCACAAGTCCCTGCTGCCCCCTTCCCCTAGTGGGGTAGCAAGGCCAGCAGGGAGGGTCCCTGAGCTCCCTGGCCCACTGGAGCCGGCTCCTCCTTCCTCCCCACCACAGTCGGGCCCCGGATGACCACGGAGCCGCAATCCCTGCTGGTGGACCTGGGCTCTGACGCTGTCTTCAGCTGCGCCTGGGTCGGCAACCCCTCCCTGACCATCGTGTGGATGAAGCGGGGCTCCGGAGTGGTGAGTCCGCAGCACAGGCCCCAGGGCAGAGGCAGGGGAGGGGGGGCAAGAGGGAACCGCCTTGCAGGCCCCTTCTCGCTGTTAGACTGGAGGGTCAGCCTCCAGTGTAAGCCGAAGCGAGGAGGACCCCAGAGAGCAGAGGGAGCCGCGGTGCCCCTGAACGCACTCGGCCCTTATGAAAAGCAGGTGGTCACCAACACCTGGAAAGGTTTTCAACCCCCCGGAATGAAGCTGCCATTTAGCCTTGAGGTTAAGCTGTGCTTTCCCCGACCTGTGTTCCTCCTTCAAAATGCGGTGCACCTGAGAGTCTGGGGTGTCCTTCCTGTGAGGAGGAACAGGAAGGGCCTTGGGGAGGGAGGCAGGGATAGTCAGGAGAAAACCAGCCTCTGTGTAGTTGTCCCACAAGATGTCACTGTCCCCATATATAGACGAGGAACCTGAGCATCTGAGAAGACAAGTAACTGGCCAAACAGACACAGGTATTCATGGCTGGAGCCAGGATTCAAACTCAGATCAAGCTAACACCAAAGACTGTTTTCTTTTCATTACCCCAAGCTATATACCAAAAAGACACTGAAAAGGACTCAGAAAACACAGGTCAGGGACCCTCAAAGAAGCCTGGCTGTAGGATAATTTCACCCACGGCCATTCCAAGACAGAAGCCACCATAGGTACAGAGAGGTGGTTATTAGCCCCTGAAGGAAGAAGCCCACGAGTCCCCCTCCGGTCACACGTTTCTCCCCACACCCCCATCCCACAGGCTGCACCTGGGAGCCCCACCTACAGCCGCACAGGGTCTCCTCTGTCCAGCCCACAGGGCACTGTCTGTGTCAGGAAACGGCCTGCCTCTCCCCTGCCCACCTGGGTTTCCCCGAGATGCTGGCGACTGCAGCCATCACCCCGGGCCTGCCTCTTGGTATCTGGTTCCCAGAGACAGAGGGAGCCCTCCCTCTACTCTCGGGGTCTGACCCTCCTGACTCTCCCAGGTCCTGAGCAACGAGAAGACCCTGACCCTTAAATCCGTCCGCCAGGAGGATGCCGGCAAGTACGTGTGCCGGGCTGTGGTGCCCCGCGTGGGAGCCGGGGAGCGAGAGGTGATCCTGACTGTCAATGGTAAGACGCCCCCCTGGGGCGGGCCCCTTCTCTTGGCACCAGACATTGCCCCAAATGGGCTGTCGCTGGTTCTGGGTCTTGCTATCACCTCCAACTAGGGATCGACAGCAATTATGTCCACCTCTTGGAGTCCCTGCCAAGTGAGGAGGGGCCTTGGGAGTTTTCTAGTCACCCCCTCCTCCTTTGGTGCCTTCGAAGAGGTCTCAGCCCTAAGAATAGTAGTTGGTGAATTTTATCCTGGCCAGGAATAAACTGTCAGAGGTCCGTGAGTGGCCAACACAGACCCACGTCTACCATGCCCTCGGCCTGTGGGGATTTAAAGGGGCATCTCTGCAGCACACTCTCCTCGCACGGGGGCCGCTCAGCCAGCAAACTGGTCAGCACACTCTCCTCGCACTGGGGCTGCTCAGCCAGGGACCCCTCTCATCACCTCCATGAGATCAAGTGTCCAGGGGTCCCCTTAAGGGCAGGGCACACGTCTTACTATATATAATAAAAATAATGACGGCAGGAGAGTGTTTTCATGTTGGGAGTTAACAGGTGACTATTACCTGAAACATTGGGGGGGGTCAGACCAGGCTGGGACGAGGGTGTAGACAACCATTGGGAAGCTGGGACTCAGCTCAGGCCAGACTCAAGAAGCTGCATCCATAGCACCAGGATGAATATTCCGACATGCCTGCCATCTTAACAGGTGCTTGGGCCATGGTCAGAAACCAAAGCTGCTTGTTTGATTCCTGTGCCATTTCCAAAGGTCTCCCTCTGCACCTGATCTCTGTCGTGCCACAGCCCTTTTGGGAGCTCCTATTCCCGCCATAGCCTGCTTCAGATCAAAGCCCCGAGGCTCTGAGCCCCTGCCGGAACTGAGCCACAGACCTATGTCTGCAGGGCTCTGGGTCCTGGCCCCAGAGCAAGGCCCTAGGGTGTCGGGAGCGAGTTCTTGAAATGAGCCCCATGGGATTCAGCTTTCTTCCTGCCCAGGAAGCCACCCCTGACAGCCTCATCTACTCTCCTCCTTTGCTAGAAAATAAAACCCAGCTTGGTGCCTCCTCAGCCACCCGGCTCTGCTGGGCCCAGCAGCCAGCTCCCCGACAACTATCTCCACTCCTCTCCCCCACCCTAGAGTCACGGCAGCCCCAGAGGGAGGGTGATCCTACTGGACCCCACAGCGTTCGCAGGACACTTGTCTTGGGCAGAGCCCTGACTCAGGAGCCCTCCTGCCTTTCCTGTGCGTGCCCAGGATGCCACCAATAAATTGGCACTGCAGGGCTAAAAATAACAGCATCTGATCTCGCCTCCGTATATCCATGGCAACACAGGCTGCAGCCTTTTCCTTTCAGGCCGGTGTCTGACACTCGGCTCAGCGCGTGGCCCAGTGAAATCAGCCACCCTCCCTGTGGCCAGCTCCACTGTGCTGACCCTGTGGCCAGCTGGGGGGACCCTCACAATCAGAGGTGCCCTCCAGAGACCCCAAGCCTGGAGCTACTGAAGGAGCATCGTGGGCTCGGGGGAAAGGGGGCAGGTGGACGGGAAGCTGACATCTGCTGTCACTGGAGACTCCCAGGCACTTCCAACAGAGATTGAAAGAGGTGACTGGAGGAGAGAATGCCCCTGGGGAACAGGCCAGGGGACATTTCTCTTGGATGGGCGCCGCAGCCTGGGCACTGGCCCTGGCCCACGGGTTAGTCTGTGCTCTCCAGAGCCCATCTTTCCATCTTCTCCGCCCCCACCCTCCCCACGAGCTTCCCTGGGTTTCTGCCTGCAGCAAAGCAAAGCACCATCCAGGTTCCCAAACACCCTCCTCTTTCTTGGAGCTCAGGGATATGAGGGAGGAAGGGCTCGGCCCACTCTGAAAGGCATCTGAGGGTGGAGGGTCCCCCCACCTGCCTCACCCAGCCCCAAGCCATTTGTCATCCTAAACTCAGTAGACATCACCAGAGTGTCTCCTGGTACCTTTTCTCCTCTTGGCTGAAAGTTACTCATAGAAATGCAAATCTGCTTTAATTAAGGGGGCTAATTAGCAATTATGTTTGCAGCAACTTTGTTTTATTCCCGTCATGATTCTGCCTGTTCTCCTGATCTGGTGCTCCCCTTCCTCGTTACCTGCCATCCAAGCCCCACCCTTACCCAGGGAGTGGAGGGGCGCGACGTTTCCACCCCGCACCCAGCCCTCAACCACCCAGCCCAGCGGACGTGCGCTGAGCCCGGGGCTAACGCGGCTGCCCCTGCCTGCCCTCCCCGCGCCCGCCGGGCGCCACGCGGGGAAGGCGGGGCTGGACCGCAGGCAGACTCCGCCGCCCGGGTGCCCGAGACGGGCGCTCCGTACCCTCCCCCCACGCACGCGGCTGGGCACCGTAGCGTCCGGCTGGCGGGGGCGTCGGGCACTCGCCTGGCCGTCCGGGTGGCACGTGAGGCCGGCGGGGTGCGGGGCTGCCGCGCGACGTCCGCAACGTGCGCACCCGCCAGCAGGCCCGGTCCGCGGGGCGGCAGCGCCGCCTGCTGGGCGCCCGCGGTGGCTGCGCGGGCCAGGCGGAGCTCTGTCCTCCCGCAGCGCCGCCTCTGTGCTCGCGCCCGGTCCTCCTCCTCGCCCGCACCCTCCCAACCGGCACTCCGCCCGGCCTGCCTCCCCGCCCGCACCCTCCCAACCCGCACTCCGCCCGGCCTGCCTCCCTGCCCGCACCCTCCCAACCGGGCACTCCGCCCGGCCTGCCTCCCCGCCCGCACCCTGCCCGGCCTGCCTCCCCGCCTGCACCCTCCCAACCCGCACCCTGCCCGGCCTGCCTCCCTGCCCGCACCCTCCCAACCCGCACCCTGCCCGGCCTGCCTCCCTGCCCGCCTCCCCGCCTGCACCCTCCCAACCCGCACCCTGCCCGGCCTGCCTCCCTGCCCGCCTCCCCGCCTGCACCCTCCCAACCCGCACTCCGCCCGGCCTGCCTCCCTGCCCGCCTCCCCGCCTGCCACCCTCCCACCGCACCCGCGCCCCGCCTCCCCCTGCACCCTCCCCAACCCCACACCCGCCCGGCTCCTCCTCCCGAACCTCCAACCGGCCACTCCGCGGCCGCCTCCCGCCCCCACCCTCCAACGCCCACCCTGCCGGCCTGCACTCCCGCGCCTGCACCTCGCCAACCCGCACCCGCTTCGGCCTGCCCTCCCCTCCCGCCTCCCCGCCTGCACCCTCCCAACCCGCACTCCGCCCGGCCTGCCTCCCTGCCCGCCTCCCCGCCTGCACCCTCCCAACCCTCACCCTGCCCGGCCTGCCTCCCCGCCTGCACCCTCCCCTCCTGACCTGCACCCCGCCCGCACCCCGCCTAGTCTGCCTTCCTGCCCGCACCCTCCTGACACGCACCCCGCCTGGTCCACCTCCTCGCCTGCACCCTCCCGACCTGCACCCTGCCTGGTCCGCCGCACCCTCCCCGCCCTCAACCTCCTGGTCCGCACCGCGCACAGGCCGCCGCCCCCCCCCGGGAAGCTTTCCCCAGAGGGAACTGCTCTGTCCCTGGGCGCTCAGGCAGCCCGCCAGCTGTTGCGGTCATCTGAGTCCTGGGATTCTGACTCAGAAGCCACTCGTGAGCCCGGGCAGGCTTACTGCCGAAGGCCACGTCGTCTCTGCGCGCCTGCGGGGCCGCACCCCGCACGCACGCACGTACTAAATGCTCACACTGAGGAACAAACGGAAACGCACCCAGTAGGGCGCCGGCCAGGGGCCTGCCCTCCGGCCTAACGAGCGCTTCTCCCAACAGGCCCCCCCATCATCTCCAGCACCCAGACCCAGCACGCCCTGCACGGCGAGAAAGGCCAGATCAAGTGCTTCATCCGGAGCACACCGCCGCCCGACCGCATCGTGAGTGCGGGGAGGGAGCCGCACCTGCAGGGCGGGCTTCCTCGAGCAGCCCAGGGGCACAGGGCCAGCCAGGGCAGCAGCGGGAAAGAACGGAGGCTTCCCCTCTGTGCTCAAGGCTCAAGGCTGCCTTAGACAGGTCTCGGCCAGAGCGCAGTTGGCCACCCTCCCTCACCTCCCTGAGCCCTCCACGCCTCTTCCAAAATGTTTGTCCTTCTCCCTCCTCTCCTCCAAATGCTGGTGCCTGCAGTGCCACTAAGGCAGCCAAAGAATCACCTTCACTCCCCGCCCCAGGTATTTGCATTTTTTAAAGTGGAGGTCTTGCACCCAAATCCATCAGAAACTGGAGGTATCTCAGGCATGAAAACGAAGAAAAGTGAGCATTTCATAGCACTGGGGGAGGGGGAGTAGGGGGATATTATTTTTAGTAATTCCCAATGCCTAGGACAATCCTGCCAGATTATCTGGGCCCACCCTGCTGGACAGCTCTGTCCTTTGAAGGACAGCAGCGCCAGGGAGGGTGCCGGGAGAGGGCTGAGCCGCTGAGAGCCCGTGTGTGCCCAGGGCAGAGACAGCCAGTCTGTGCAGACTGAACTGCCATCCTTGTGGACAAGATATGAGGGTGTTATTGTGGTCACACTTTCTCAGGCATTTGGTTCATTCATTGTGAAAGAGTCACACAAAACTTACAAGGATTCAGGAATAAAACTAATACATAGGAAACAATACATACATGAATAAAACTAATACACACATAATAAAATTAATACACTCACCTCACTCTTTAATTTTTTAAAAATTATAAATGTAACACATACCTATTGTAAAATATCCCAATGGCCAGGCACAGTGACTTGAGCCAGTAATCCCAGCACTTCAGGAGGCTGAGGTGAGAGGATCGTTTTGAGGCCAGGAATTCGAGACCAGCCTAAGCAATATGGAGAGACCACAACTCTACCAAAAATAGAAAAATTAGCTGGGCTTGGTGGCATGTGCTTGTAGTCCCAACTACTCAGGAAGCTGTGTTAGGAGGATCGCTTGAGCCCAGGAGTTTGAGGTTTCAATGAGCTGTGATGAGGCCACTGCACTCTAGCCTGGGTGACAGAGTGAGACCCTGGCTAAAAAAAAAAAAATCAAATCCCATTCACTCTTGAGCATTTTCACGCCATATTTCTCTTCATAAATATCTGATTCTAGGCCAGTGGGTCTCACTGGCTCCTGGGGATATTGGCAGCATCTGGAGACATTTTGAGTTGTCACAATTGGGGGAGTGGTGCTACTGGCACCTAGTGAGTAGACACCAGGAATGCTGCTAACAGCCCACCGTGCACGGGACAGCCCCCAGCTGAGAATGAGCTGGGCCAGGGTGGCGACGGCGTGGGGTGTGAGAAACCCTGCCGCAGCTCGCCCAGGCCCTGGGAGCACTGCCTGCATCCCCACGGTCCCACGGGCACTGTGGACCAGGCTGTCTGTGGCGCTTAAACACACTGAGCTGATACCATGTGTGTGGAACGAAAACAGTTAAACTAAGATAGATGAGGGCGACCACAAGCACAACACTCATGCTTTCGTAAAGACAAACGAAGTAACCACTCTGGGCTGCTGTCCTACCCAGGCAGCAGCACTGTCCCACGGAGCATCTCCGGGACACCGGGCGCAGGCATGGCCGAGCAACACAGGGGCTCAGATCACTGCCATCAGAGCTCCCTCTTTGCCTGGAAAAATGCTCCAACTGTGGACCTATACTGGGCTCCCTTCTTGGGTGGCTAAGATGGTCCCAACCTCTAGGCATATGTGCACATGTGTACATGCATTTGCAGATTGCATGTCTATGTGCTAGGAGGGGTGTATACATGTAGTGTGTTGTGTGTGTGGTATGTGTGTCGTGTGTGTTCATGTACATGTTTGTGGTGTTTGTACTTGTGTTATGTGTGCATACACACGGTGTGTTGTGTGCATGTCATAGTGTGTGTATTCATGTTTGTAAGGTATATGTACCTGTATATACACATGTTGGTGATGTGTATGGTATGTATGAATGTGCACATGTGTTGTGATGTATGGGTTGTGTGTGCACATGCATGCATGTATGCTTGTGATGTGTGTTAAGTTATGCTGTGTGTGGTATGTGTACATGTATCTGTGGGGTGTCTTGAGTATTGTATGCACATGTATTATGGTGTATGACATGCGTATACATGTCTGTATACATGTTTGTGATATATGGTGTGGTGTGATGTGCATGTGTTTTTATATATGTTTATATGTGTTATGGTATGTTCTCACATGTATGCATTTGTGTGATGTGCTTTGGTGTATGTGGTTTGGTATGAGCATGTGTTGTAATGCATGTTTATGTTTGTTGTAGTGCATATACATGTGTGTATGCATATTTGTGGCATGTGTGCATGCATACCTATGTGTACATGTGTTGGCTATGTATATGATGTGGTGTGTGTGTACATGTATTGTGACATGTATTTGTATGTGTTGCAGTGTGTGTGGCCTGTGTTTGTGGTGTGTGGTGTATGTGTGCACACGCACATTTCTGTGTGCAAACGTTGGTGTGTTGCATTGAGCATGAACTTGAGTCCTGGCTGTGTCCATGTGGAGCAGGGGGGTGGAACCATGGTCCTGGCCCCCTCTGGTGGGGTCTCCTCCTAATTCTGCACCCCGGCAGGCCTGGTCCTGGAAGGAGAACGTGCTGGAGTCAGGGACATCGGGGCGCTACACAGTGGAGACGATCAGCACCGAGGAGGGCGTCATCTCCACCCTGACCATCAGCAACATCGTGCGAGCCGACTTCCAGACCATCTACAACTGCACCGCCTGGAACAGCTTTGGTTCTGACACGGAGATCATCCGGCTCAAGGAGCAAGGTGAGGGCCGCCAGGGCCTCCAGGGGACTGGCAGGGCCAGCAGGGCCTGGAGGTCAGAGCACCTAGAGCGCCGGCGAGGCTTCGAGGGGGGTCGGGACCAAGAAGGAGTCACGGTGCCCCCCTGGCTGGCAGCACAGCCCTGGACAGGCAGCTGCCTTCCTCAGCCCAGCTCCCCGAGGAATGAAGGGCACTCACCCCCACCAGGAAACGGGGAAGGAAAACTGCTCAGACTGGCCGCCGCCCGCAAGGCAGTGTTTCAGGGAGAGGCGGCCACAGACCAGCCAGGCTGGTTGCCGGGACAGGGGCGAGCTGCACACCAACCTCTGGAGGCCTGGCTTTGTGCACTCCGCCTCGGCCCCCAAAGTGCCCTTAATACCTGGGCACAGATACACTGGCTTGGAACGTGGGGAACCTGGCCAGCCCCAATTAAGACAACAAGCCAACCCAGTCACCCAGAAGCCCTGCGAGGGCACCCTCGCTAAAGCTAGGGGCAGGGCTTGTCCCTCCCACTCCCTGGTGCGGGGGCTGGGCTCAGGCCACCTGCTGACCCCAGGAGACATAGAGGCCACTGTGCTGCACAGGAGACACCGCCAGAAGGGCAACACTGGGCAGAGGGTGAGAGGGAGGAAGGATGAGGATCAGCCCCAAGCAACCCCATGTGCCCACTGCCTTCGTTCCTGGCAGAGATGCTAAGAACTCCGGGGTCTGCTCAGAGTTCTCAGGCACAGCCTCCAGGACGGGAAGCCCCGGAGGGACACTGAGGCCTGGTTCCAGGGAAGCTCCACATACAGCCAGCAGCCTGGTCCTGAAATGGGATGCAAACCTTGTCCCTTTGCCACCCAGGGTGAAGCCAGGGTGGGCCAGGGATTGCTGCTCAGGCAGGCCCAGGAGGCCTCAGTCCCTGCCCATTTGAGCTGAAGGCCCCCGTCAGGCTGTCAGGCCCTGGCAAGAGATTCTGGCCCTAGGGGTGGTCCCAGCCAGGCCTCTCAGGCCACAGGGCTCGCAGTGATGGCACCGATGATCAGATTGCACAGCCTCCCCAACACCTCTTCCCTATTGGGCGCGCTGCTTTGCATGATGCTTCGCACATGATTTGCATAATGTCATCCACACATCATCCCAAACCCTCCTGGTCCCCTGTGCCTGCCCTCCATGTCTTCCCCTCGGTGCCCTCACCCCTCCTCAAATGTTCTCACCCCAGCCTCCCACCCCACCCCTCCAAGACGGCTTCTCTCTCTGGTCCCCTGCCCCTCTGGAGTCCCTAAGTCAGTCAGAATGAATTCCAAGTTCAGTTGGGCTAGCCTGGATCTGTTGGGGGTCCCAGAGACATCACTGGGGAGGGAGCTTCTCACCCCAGCCCCCTCCAGATGGCCAGCCCCCTGTCCCACCCAACCCTGGCCAGCCAGGCCCTCGCTGTAGACGCTTGCTTTATTTCCAAACAGGTTCGGAAATGAAGTCGGGAGCCGGGCTGGAAGCAGGTACGAAGGAGACAATGAGAACTGCCCTGGGTGGAGGGAAGGGACTTCTTGGCTAGTGGGGGAGGGGCCCCAAAAGGGGGTAAGGGAGGCCTGTGCAGGCCACTAATTTCTCTGCCCTCCCCCGTCCCAAGGGCTTAGTGCAGTAAGAGCAGCAGGGAGAGGGTTCCCAGCCAGCTGGGGTCCAGGGACCCCAGAGACCTATCTCCCGCCTGCTGTAGGGCTCCTTCCTCTCCAGGACACTGGCTCTCGCACCTCCCCATCCATTCCATCCATCCCTTCTCTTCAGAAGCCCTGGCTGCTGCCCTCCAGGTCAGCTGCCCCTGTGCTGGCCTCCCTCTGCTCCAGGCTGTCCCTGATGCTCCGGCCTCCCAGCGTCATCACCGGCTCGGCCCCACTTCCCGCCGTCCCGTGGAAGTGCCTCCCTACCCAGGCACCCAGCAGCAAGGTGGTCCTCAGGCTGCCCGGGTGGAGCTACTTTGTCTTGGGACCCACAGGAGACGGTTGCCCCACCCCCAAGCAGAAGACCAGGAAAGAGAATCAGGACATAGCCAGCCAGACTCTGCAGGGCCAACCAAGCCATGCCGGAGACTTGGGGGGGTCCTCTGACCCGGCTCCCCTGCCATGTTGGCCCCTGGCCTGTATCACTTGCTTCAATTAACTCCACTGTGGGCCCCTCCTCTCCCGGCAGACACGCCCCATCAAAGCACCAGCCCAGGGCACAGGCCTGCTCCCAGAGTCCCCTGTAGCCCACGCAGAGGCAACCCAGACAGTTGTCAGCCTCCTGCTGTGTTCTCCTGAGTCCCCTCATGGTCTACCCAAGTGCTGAGGGGTGGCATTCCTCTCCCCATCTCCTTTTCATGTTTAGCTGCTCACACTCGTCTGGAGCCCCCTGTCACCTTCCTCCCTCGGGGACTGAGACCCTCGTGCCTAATCCACCTTCTTGGATAGAGAGGAGGCAGCACAGGGACATGTCCCTAGGGAACATGGGAGAGATGCTCTGTTCTCAGGTGATCAGCCTGCACAGGTGGCCCAGGCCAGAGCTCAGGAGGCTGGGCAAGGAGGGAACACACACAGGCAGGACTCCACCCCAGGTCCACTTGTCCCCAGGGGTCCCCCCTTCTCTCCCCTACTCTCCTGCCTGAGGACCACTGTTCCGCTAAGATGGCACTCCTCCCCAGCTGTTAGCAACTCAAGGAAAGGGGACTTGCAGGATGCAGGGTCGGAAGAGACTGTGGACATGGCCACCCCAGCTCTCTAGGTTGACAGACGAGACTCTGGGGCTGTGAGGTGTTGAGGAACCTTCTGCCGTTGTGCTTTGGCTCAGGTCAGCTGAGGCAGGCCCTGAGTTTTTCTAAGAAAACTTAGTAGGAATCTGAGGAGAAATTAAAACCCAAATGAGTCGAGTTCAAAAGCTTAGAACCAATGACCTTCTGAAGCAATTTTTCTTCCTCGTGGAGTGCAGACCTAGATAGAGACAGACTGTCAGTCTGTCAGAGCAAGCCCACTGCGGTCAAGCCCAGTCCTCAGTCCTGATTGTGAGACCAGCCCAGACACCTCCCATCTTCAATCCCTGACTTTTTGCCACCCCACCTTCTCTCGGCCCCTCCCCTGTCACCTGCAGTGGTCTTGGCCACCAATCCATAGGCAGCAATTGAGTTAGTGTGCAGGTCCTAGGGTGGCAAAGGGATGTACCAGCACAGCCACCAACACTGCCAGCCAAGGGTGCCAGCTCCCTGCGGCCGGGGCAGGTGGCCATCCCCCCACTGACGGCCCCTCCCCAGCATCTCTGGAGCCCAGGGTTGGAGGCTTTCTTCTCTCTCTTTAAAGAAAACAGCACTGCGAAGCTAACCCACAGCCCTAGAACAAATGCCTCGCCATCCTCCAGCCAACCACGCTGCTAAATGCGGGTTGGTGGGGAGTGGCTCAGTCTTTGAAAGGAGCTTTCTTCGCCTTTAAGGTTTTGACCTGCTGCAGCGGCCCCTTCCCATGCAGCAATAGGAGCAAACACTGAACAGGGCTGGGTGCCAGGCTCTGCTCTGAGGCCTCTGCCCACATCGCTCAGCTAAACCCCATAACAACCCTCAGAGGTGGCCACTATTGTTAGCCCCATTTTACAGATATGAGAGGTAAAGTCAGCAGCTCAGAAGAAGTGATGAAGCCTGGACTCAAGCAATGGCAGTCTGGGCTGTCCAGAGCTTCTGGCATTTGGGAGATGCCATGTGACACAGAGGGCGGAGGGGCTGGGTGGGGTGGGAGTGGTGAGTGGGGTGTGGGGCAGTGAGAGGAGGCCTGGATTTACCCTGGCTCTGCAGTAGCTGCGTGTCCTTGGCCAGGTCACTTGACTCCTCTGGACCTCAGTGTCTCCATCTGTAAAATGGAGAGCTTGGCCTTGGTGGGCCCCTGCCCAGCATTCTCTAGTTCCATTCCTGACGGACTCTCCTGCCCAGCCAGGGCAGAAGTCCGACTTCTGGGGCTCAGCAGGGAGTGGGGCTTGCCCGCTGCAGCACTGGCCTCTCTTGCTGGAAGGGGTGCAGGGATGCTCAGAGGGCTGCCTAGAAGGAGAACAGCGGGCTTGGGGGAATCAAAGGAGTCCCTAGAGAGGTGGCAGGAGGGAGCTGTGACCCTGCCCCCGCCTCAGAGACCTGGAAACCTGGGGGCTACGAGCCCTGATGTCCAGCAGGCCCGGGGGAAGCTGCCTGGACTGAAACCTGTCTAGGAGCTGGTCATCCATGAGTGACCCTTGTGCACCTGGGAAAGGGACGAGAAGGAAAGGACAAACTCAACAAACCAGGGCAGTGACCCTTTTCAAAGAAAGACAGGACTTCCAACTCACCAGCTGCGGCATGATAAAGCACCCTGTCTAATGCCAGAGAGAGCTCAACTGTTCCGGCCTCGCCCTCCCCTCTGGTTTCCTCTCCACAGCCCTCCCTCCTCTGTGTCCGCCTGCCCTGCTCTCCCTCCCTTCCCTCCCTTGCCCCTCCCTGCCCTTCTCTCCACCCACCCACCCAGGGTCCTCCAGCCCAGCCTTTGCAGTCCCAGCTAGAGCTGACCCTTGCGGGACTCTGCCTGTGCCTGCCCAGGCCCCACCAGGCCAATTCCCAGGAGGGGCCACATGGCAGGGGCTGCACCAGAGAGCTGGGTGAGTCTTGTGGGGACAGTGGGCTGTCCCATCCCACGTCAGCTGTGCCCCTTTCTCTCCTGCAGAGTCCGTGCCGATGGCTGTCATCATCGGGGTGGCCGTAGGAGCTGGTGTGGCCTTCCTCGTCCTCATGGCAACCATCGTGGCCTTCTGCTGTGCCCGTTCCCAGAGAAGTACGGGAGGGAGACCCGGGATCTCAGGGAGGGGGACAGAGAAAAAGGCCAGGCTTAGGCTGCCCCGGAGAGCAAGTAAGCAGGAGTACAACAAACGGGCCCTCGCGGTGCTGTGAGCTCCTGGGGCAGGGCTGGGTCTGACGCCGCGCCAGGTGCAGTGCCGGGCGCGGTGTTTGGCAGAGGGGGCCGCTCAGCTGGTGCTGCCGTGGACCAGACTGGAGTCTGTCTGCAGGGCAGTCAGCCAGCCCTGTGGGCTGGACACGTGTAGCACTGTCAGTTGGGGATGGTGTAGACATCTGTGGAGAGAAGAGGCAGTTTGATTCTTGCTCTCCCAGACCTGCTAGTCTGACCAGAAAGGCAGATCACCCACACGGGGAAAAAAGCATTCAAGGAATTGCTTTAAGCAGACTTTTAAGGTCTTCAGTCATTAGCAATAAAACTCTAGTGCTTGTGTGCTCTTGAAGGATTGCGTGTACGCCGAGTGTCCACAGCGGGCACAGCTCTTGTGTTACGTGGGATAGACATGTGCAAGGGTAAAGCAGGATGGCAGAGAAGTGAGATGATGGAGACAGTCTCCCAATCCACCTCTTCTACCAGCCAATCCTGAGCAAGCCACAGCTATTCCAGGCCTTGCTTTCCTCCTTTGTAGTAATAAAAGGACGGGATGATGTGGCCTTATGACCTTGCCCAGCCCTAACATCTATGAGTGTAATGCACAAAATGCATCACCAGAATCAGGCTGCTCCCTCCACCCCTCAGCAGCCCTCACAGGTGGACGAAGCTAAGCTGTGCCCCTTCCGGCGCACGCCAGCAGCCCTGGCGCCAGGACCTCCCTCACCACCCTCTCACCAGAAATTATAGGGGAGCATATTTTAGCAAGAATTTTCTAACAGAGCTCTCCAACTAGAAACAGGCCACCTCCTGCAGAAGTAGCAGAGCTGCCATCACAGAAGTGTCGACAGAGAAGCGGGGCCGCTGTGTGCCAGGGACGTTTCTGCTCGGGTGGGGGCTGGCCATGGGTGCCCGAAGGGCTCGTGTGCCAGGGACGTTTCTGCTCGGGTGGGGGCTGGCCATGGGTGCCCGAAGGGCTCAGCACTGAGGCTTGCGGCTCTGTGAATGGAGAGCTCAGAGCCTGGCAGAGGGGCCGGAGAAGACTTCTGGAAGGAAGTGGGGATTCTGTAGGGTGAAGAGCTCAGTGAGGTGGCCAGGTAGCAGAGGACAGCCTGCAAGCCAGGGTGGACGGCTGAGGTGCACACAGTCGGGTGGGCAGCCCACCGCATGCGCGTCCAGGCGTCCTGTTGGGGGGAGATGCTGAGCTCAGAGGCTGGAGAGTGAACCCTGGGGCTTGGGCAGAGGTGGGGGTTTGTGGGGGAAGCTTGACATCTCAAAGGTAAGAACTGAATCTGTCATCTATATTTTCCTATTTTATGTCCAGATCTCAAAGGTGTCGTGTCAGCCAAAAATGATATCCGAGTGGAAATCGTCCACAAGGAGCCTGCCTCTGGCCGGGAGGCTGAAGAGCGCCCTGCCATCAAGCAGCTGATGGTGAGAGCGCTGCCGTGGCCCCCCCACCCCGCTCCCCGTCTCAGAAGCTTTGGGGACTGCGGTTTCTCAATGCCCTAGATGCTTCCAAGAAGCAGAGCACCAGTCAGGGTGCACCCCTGCCCTCCTGCTCCCAGTCGGCCAAGCACACACTCTCATCCAGGGACACTGCTGTGCGCCTGCTGTGCTGAGCATGGTGTTCTGGGAGACTCAGACATCCAAGGTGCAGTCCCAACCTTCAGAGAACCTGATTATTCATTCAGTGAGGAGAAAAGACACATGCATAAATTGCCCTAATATGTTGGTATATAACATATAATTCTGCACACATACACATGAAGATGTAATATTAATAGATTTTCAGTATGTACCCCTCCCACTCCCCATCCAAAAAAAAAAAAAGTTTGCAAGAGGCATAGGCTCCTTGGGAACTGGGTTACTCACAGAAGCAAACTCATAACTTCTCCAACACCTTGTCCCAATCCCCACGTTTGGCCCATAATCCACCCAGCTGTCCCAGCAGAAACCCAGACAGTGGTGCTAGAAGCTTTTGGTACATGCTGTGTCATGGCTGTCATATGCTGGAGTAGCAGCAGCAGAGCAGGGGTAAAGAGCACAGGCCTCTCTGTGCCTCAGTGTCCCCATCTATGAAATGAAGGTAATGCACACAAGGCCATGGTGAGGGGCAAATGGGTGGGTAAAACCCTAAAGAGCTTGGAGCACGTGGAATACAGCGCTCAATAAACGCCAGCCACTCGTGCTGCTAGATGGGAGCAGCGCTGCCAGGCCCATCCCCCGGTCGCCAGAGCCTACACGCCCCTGGCAGAAGCTCCCAAATGTGTACTGAACTGAACTGACTTTTCCCTCTGCCACTATTTCTCTGTCCAGTCAATTTTTAGGTTCTGTCAACTCCACTCCGTGTGCCCCGCCCTCCTCCACTGTCACCTCCTCACTTGGGGCCTTCCTTCCCTGGGCCATCGCAGCAGCCTCCTCCACTGTCACCTCCTCACTTGGGGCCTTCCTTCCCTGGGCCATCGCAGCAGCCTCCTCCACTGTCACCTCCTCACTTAGGGCCTTCCTTCCCTGAGCCATCGCAGCAGCCTCCTCCACTGTCACCTCCTCACTTGGGGCCTTCCTTCCCTGGGCCATCGCAGCAGCCTCCTCGTTGATCTCCACATTCTAGTCTTTTGTCACTTTTCTCAGCCACCTTCTAGGGCCCTGAAGAAGGGGTCCCTCTAAAATACAACTCCGATGCTGTTACTGTCCTACTTAGAATCCCTTGGTGGCTCCGTGTCCGGTGGATAAAGTCCTGCCGCCCAGCGAGCCATCCACGCCCTCACTGTGAGGTGGCTGCCAACCTTCCCAGCTCTGTCTCCCAGCCAGGCACATCTGGCCCCAGACACACCACGGAGCTGTGACTCCTGGCCTTCAAGTCTCTCATGCCGCAAAGGCCTGTGCTACGCTGCTCCCTCGGCCTGTTGATTTTGTCTGTTGAATTTCACATTCTCCTGTAAGAATCAACTCAAATGCCAACAACATAATTTTGTGCTTGTACCTCTCCTGCAAGCCAAGCTGTGCACTCTGCTCTCCCGAAACACTCTGCATGCGCCTCTTTTATAGTGCAGTCCTCTAATTACATGCCAGCCTCCCCGATGATCCCAGAGCTGCTCAAGGGCAAAGGTCACGTTCCTGAGTCTGTGCTTGTCTGGTTCCTCCGCCCTGACATAGTGTCTGGTGCAGAAGAGTGTCTAGTTTTACAAGGGAGGAAGCCACAGCCTAGATCTGAGAAGGGATGAATGTCTCTGCACATACACTTCATCAGGTCTGTCCTTCATCCCAAATGGGACCTCAAATTCCCTTCTGTCCTGTTGCCTCTGAGTGTCTCCACATCACCCAACCCTAACCCTCAGGAACAGATAAGGGCACTCAGCAGTCAGGTGAGAGCAGGGGCCAACTCGGCAGAACAGACTTGCTCAGGGCTCTGTGGCTGAGCCTCACTTGGGGAGATCACTCCCTGACTCCATCACCCCTGGCCCTGAGATGGCCCCTTCACCAAGGAGAGGCAGCTTAGGGGTTGAATTTGGTGGGAAAGAAGGACCCCAACCCAGAGAGAGACAGAGCGTTTACTGGCAAATGAAATACTTTGGTGGATTCCCTGGCGCTCCAAAAAGAGATGAGGAAGACAAGTTGCAAGGGAGAAACAACCACCCAGCCCAGCAAGCAGGGGAGGGGCCTGGGTTAGCCGGCACGGCTGCAGCAGCGGTGCGTGGCACAGGCTGAGCATCACGTGGCCACTCTGAGTAACTCGTGCGCCGCAGTGTGTAGGGGTGTGCTTTGCTCCTCTTATGCCCTGTAACTGTCTTAACGTTCAGTAATTGACAGCTAAGTCACCGGTCCACTGACTCCACATAAACGTAACGTTTGGGACAGCTCTGCTGTGTGCCAGGCACTGTGCTAGACATGGGTGAATCAAAGAGTAAGAGATTCTATTCCAAAAGCATTTTGGTCAGTGACCACATGTGCAGGGCCCTGGACCAGGTGTGCTGGAGACCCGAGAGAAGGAAGTGATCTGTGCTCTCAGGCTGGTTGGCATCCAGTAAGGAAGCTAACTTCTCAGTGCCTCCAAGTCACTGCTGTGTGTAACAGGTGCGGCCTGCGTCGCCAGCGTCTCACGTGCGGTTATCCCTCGTGATTCCTTCTCAAGGCCTTCATCAGGCCCTGGCGCTGGCTGATGGACCGCTCAAGGAGCCGACCTGTGCCCAGGGGTTGCTACTCTGTAGTCACTTACCCACAAATCCATCTCCCTGAGAAGCAGAGCTGCATCTTAATGTGTCTTCATGTGTGTACCCCTGGCCCTAGCACAGTGCTGGCCTATAATAAATGCTCAATGAATTGAATTGAATGTGAGATTTCTCAAGGTAATGCCCTACCCCAGGTGAAGAAAGTGTGGCCTCAGAGACCTGCCCATGCCCCATCCACCCACCCCTGTGCCTGCCTATCTCTTAGGATGGGGGTCCAGGAACTGACCCTGACTCTGTCCTTTGCCTTCTGTGGCCCAGGCAGCGAGGGTGGGGGTGGGGGAACATATGGCAATCTTTTGAGTTTATTTCCCCATCTTTTCCTTGGGGAAAGTGGAGGTTAGCCCACTTCCTCTCCACTGAGCAGCCGTCTTGCACTGTAGATGGACCGGGGTGAATTCCAACAAGACTCAGTACTGAAGCAGCTGGAAGTCCTCAAAGAAGAAGAAAAAGAGTTTCAGAACCTGAAGGTAAGACGAGCCATAAGTTATCAGACACAGCCTCGGGGTCTGTCTCCAGCTCTGATGAGCCAATCCCCAAATCCCTGAGAGGACAGCAGCAAATAGGAGAAGGGCCAGAGGCAGCCTGGAGACTCGTGCCTACCCACCCTAAGTGGGACACTCTGCGCCCGAAGCACCTGCTTTCTCCGCCCTAGCACTGAGAGGGCTGAGGCTGGGTCCCCACCTTCTCTCCCACAGCCTCCTCACACCTAGATTTCAAAATTATGCATCTCTGTCCTGGATAAAAATAAAAAACAATCAAAATCCAATTTTCAAATGATTTTACACTGTCCTGACACAGACCTTGGCCAGAGCTTTTGCTCGCCTCCCGCTTGCCCTCACCCCTGCCTGCCGCTCAGACTGGCCAGTCCTCTGTACCTGGGTTCCTGCTCACCTGCCGCCCACGGCCTACACTCCCCCCTCCCCGGTGGTTCCCTTCCTCTGCCTTGCCCCTCCCTCCCTGTGTGAGGCAGCACCAGGAAGGCTGCTCTGGGTGACGCTCTGTCACTCCTGCCCACCCAGGACCCCACCAACGGCTACTACAGTGTCAACACCTTCAAAGAGCACCACTCCACCCCGACCATCTCCCTCTCTGGCTGTCAGCCAGACCTGCGTCCTGCAGCCAAGCAGCGCGTGCCCACGGGCATGTCCTTCACCAACATCTACAGCACCCTGAGTGGCCAGGGCCGCCTCTACGACTACGGGCAGAGGTTCGTGTTGGGCATGGGCAGCTCCTCCATCGAGCTCTGCGAGCGGGAGTTCCAGAGGGGCTCCCTCAGCGACAGCAGCTCCTTCCTGGACACGCAGTGTGACAGCAGCGTCAGCAGCAGTGGCAAGCAGGACGGCTATGTGCAGTTCGACAAGGCCAGCAAGGCCTCCGCCTCCTCTTCCCACCATTCCCAGTCCTCTTCGCAGAACTCTGACCCCAGCCGGCCCCTGCAGCGGCGGATGCAGACCCACGTCTGAGGATCGCACACACACGGGAGGGGACCAGCCGGGAAGAGGGCACTGTTCTGGGTCTCCAGGCACTAGGGGTACTTTGCAGAGGACCCCAGAACTGGCCACCTCCAGGACAGCCCCCCAGAGTTTCTGCCACCACTTTCCTTTGCAGCTGTAACCAAGCACAAATCCGGGTCCCAGCTGCAGTGCGCCAGAGGCAGGTGGATGGGGACGCACAGAGGACGCAGCCGAGTGAGTGCACTTAGTGCTGGACGCCCTTGTCCCCACCCCTTTCCTGGAGGCCCCTCTCCACCTGCTCCTCCCACAGGCACAAGTGGCAGCTGTAACTTTGCTTTCATGAAACTGCCGACCACACTCCGGTCACCAGGGGCTCTACCCCTTGCCATCAGTAAGCCCTACCCCTGTGCCTGTGCTCCCCCTGTGCAGCCCTGGGGGAGGGAGGAAGTTCTTCCCCACGCTGAGCTGCGAGACCGGGGCTCCCCTGCTGCTCACAGCGCACACTGTGGAGGCTGAGAAGCCAGAAATGGCCCTGGCCAGACAGGCGCGTCTCAGCACGCTAGCCAGAGCCCACCCCCAATTTGGTGTCTTGTGTCCATACTCTCACAGTTCTGTCCTTGGACTTGATGCCTCTGAGCTCTAAGGTGGGACTGGCCCAACTGGAGCCTGGAGTGCTGGAAGGGGGGAGGAAGGAGGGGGAGAATGTGAGCACTGGGGAGCCTGCCCGACACGCTCTTGGCTAGGCTTTGTGCTTCAGGGCCTCCTCACCAGCCCTGCTTTCTGTGCCCCCCCCAGCACAAGCCCTGGTAATATAGAAGTGTGAGGGCCTCTCTGGTCAGGGTTCTTTGAAGTTATGGAGAGTGTTTCCTGGGAGGTGCCAGGTTTGAGGGGCCTGGAGGTCAGGTCTTGAAGACGGCGAGATGTACGTTCTTAGCTGACGGACACAAGGACAATGATCCTGTCTTCAGTAAGACTCCATGAGCAAGAGAGAAAGTGTCCTGCACCTCACCCTCCTGTTCACCACCTGAGAATAAATGCTAGGGCTATTACTCCAACAAGTCCATTCTGCCCTTTTGTTCCTGCAGAGCCACAGGAAGAGCCTACGTGCTCAGGGTATGCTTTGGGAACCCCAGGTGTTTGCCCTTCTTTGATTCAGTTTTCCTAAACAAGGCAGGCAGTTGACAGCTCTGGTTGTGGTGGCAATAACACCCACAGGCAGACTCCTCTCCTTTGTGGATGGCCCAACCTAGAGGATATGCAAAAGAGGACTCACCAACCACCTGACTCACACCAAATACAGCTCAGAGGCAAAGTGATCATACTGGACATTGGCCAGGTCCTTCTAGACCTTTTCTGTCAGCAATATTCTGCAGGGAAAGTTCCCTTCACTAGAGGCTCAGAGGAGGAGTCCCTCTTGAAGGAGTCTAGACCACTAAGCATCTAATACTCTAACTTGAGACTCAGTGTTCTGAGAATGGCTTTGCTGGGTGGCAGCTTGGTGTAGGCATGGCAGACGGGTAGATAAATGGGCAAGTGAGAACACTAGTTCCAGGATTCAAGTGGAACTTGGAAGAACCCAAACTGTCCCTCAGCTTGGAGTTTCCTCATCAGTTGTAGACTTTTCTTCTCCAGTTTTTCCTGGTAGTACCTTACCCATCATGAAAACCTTTATCACACACGTCTGTGCTTCTTTCTAGACACTGGTTCCTTGAGTGGGCCCAAGTCAGGTTGTATACATAGCCTTCATAGCTCCTCCACTCAGAGGGATTTTTTGCTTTGACCATATTTCTTAGTGCTTCAAAGTCCCCCAGTTCCCTGGATATCTTCCTTCACAGCCCCGAAGCCCAAGGGAGTAAACACTGATCAGAAATGTAGTTGTACATCCTCATCCCACATCCTGCTCTCGGAACCACCTGGCCTGGCACAGGTGCCAGAATGTCAGCCCCTGCCCTCTTTAGGTTAATCGCAGCAATGTTTCCCTCTTCCCATAGATGTTTTCCCTTTGCCAACAGGGAAAGAGGATCAAAGACCATATGCAAAATGCCTTGGCATGCTAGAATAAGAAAGAAGATGACTTAAGAGGATTTGTCCACTAATTTCTCCTTGTCTTCCCCACCTTGGAGAGGGGACAGTCTACCTCTTAATCCTCACCACAGCCTGCCTTGCTCCTTGTCCCTATCTCTGTCCCCCCACCCACAGAGCTAATAGGATAAAGGTGCCCATTCTTTCCTGGAACTCAAGGTTATAACAGAACAACCAGAAGAAAAGGGAAGAAATCTGCTCTCTTGTAGAACACAATGAGCTTCCTCCTGTGCCCTGAGCACTCCCAGGGTAAGAATATGGACTAGCACAGAAGCTGAGCAGAGAGCGCCAGGACAGCTGGGCTATACAGCGCCCAACCCTCTGGGCTCTCTCCAGTACACACATACAGCAAAGAACCACTGAAGGGACAGGAGGCACAAGTGCAGTCTTTGTGAGATAGAACAGCATGGAGGGAAAAACCGAGGGGGAACTGGGGACTCTGGAACATTGAGAAGGAGCCACACTGAGCTATGTGCATCTTTCAGCTGTCTCCAGCCCTAGTCCCTTCTCACAAAGGAGTAAGGATGCAGAAAAGCTGGTAAAGGGAGCTCGTTTTTTTTTAAGAAAAAAAAAAGGCAGTGGGAAGCCCTGAATTTCCCTTTAGGTGATTGCACATTAAATAAAATGAGTGCTGTACATTAGTAATCTTATTTAATCTTCACAATTCTACAACGTATCACCATTTTACACATGTGGGAATTAGGCTTAAAGGCAGCACAAGACTTGCCCAAGATCAAGACCTAACAAGTGGCAAACATAAGATTTAAATGCACATGATTTCCACTACAAGACCCTATAGTGCAAACTCAAGGCCACTCTCATCCTAGAGTGTGGATGGTCTGTGAGTGCCCACTCTGGGGCAGGCTGGGCAAGGATGAGCCTCCACTCTGTTAGGAAGGGAGGACTGGCATCCTGGGAAGACCACAGCTCAGCTCCCTGGGAGACAAAGCTATGCTGTGCATCCAATCACCCCCACCCCTAGCAAGGCCAGGATCCAATTTTCTGATAGCTTTAAACTTCATTATTGGCTCAGAGGCACTGGATGGGAGCCCAGTTTCTATTCTCAGGCCACTATCAGTCTGCAAAGGCCAGGGTTATTTCCACCACGTCTTCAACTTCCCTGCAATAGGAATTGTTCTCATATGAAGAGCTAAAATGTCATATCAAATCCGTTTCTGATGAAGCCTATTTAAACAAATCCTCTTAAGCAATAGGCCACGAAGCCGCCTTTACCTTTCCAGCACAGAAAGGACCCAGGAAACGAAAACAATATGAGGCAGTCCTTGGAGATTTCTCAGAGCAGGAGAACAGGGGCTGACAGGAATTCCATTTCTTACTTCCTGGCTGGAGAGGAGTGTGAGGACAGTATTTGCTGTCACCACGGCCAGCCGAAGCTGCAAGGTGCACACCGCAGGTTCGACTCACTCTTCCCAGGTTTCCTGTGTGTGGTCTGTGACGGCCCCAGAAAGAAAAAGATGAAGTGGAGTCCTGCGATCTTCTCTAGGAACTTTCCCTATAAAACACTCTTTATTAGATAAAAATATAACTATTTAAATAACTATCTTAATTCACATATAGATGTTTATTTAAAATACCACTTGGGCCGGGCGCGGTGGCTCACGCCTGTAATCCTAGCACTCTGGGAGGCCGAGGCAGGCGGATCGCTCAAGGTCAGGAGTTCAAAACCAGCCTGAGCAAGAGCGAGACCCCGTCTCTACTATAAATAGAAAGAAATTAATTGGACAACTAAAAATATAGAAAAACTTAGCCGGGCATGGAGGCCCATGCCTGTGGTCCTAGCTACTCGGGAGTCTGAGGCAGGAGGAGGATCACTTGAGCACAGGAGTTTGAGGTTGCTGTGAGCTAGGCTGATGCCACAGAACTCTAGCCCGGGCAACAGAGTAAGACTCTGTCTCAAAAAAATAAATAAAATAAAATAAAATAAAATAAAATAAAATAAAATGCCACTTGTTGTGTCTAAAGAAACAAACCTTTAGATTTCAGCCAATGACATCTCAACGAAATCTTGAATTTTACTTCCTCTTTAAAAAAGTCTTTTAAAAACCTCTTATCTGAGCTGTTTTTAGGAGCTGTAACCACATACCAGTTATTTGCAGCATTGACATCAAAACAGCAGCAGTCTCAGGGGCCACTGAGAAGCTCTCTCTTGCTGATAGTGGCTTCTCACCTCCAGTAGGCCCAGCCATCCTTTCCCCAACCTTATGTGTTCCAGTCTCCTAACCAGGTCACAAACTGGGAATAGTGAAAACATGACAAGCTACTCTTCTTTCTAAAAGTAAGGAATTATTCTCTTGGATGAGTAGGACCTCTCTAACTGCTGTTCTTCCTTGGCCCACTCCCTCTTCTCCAATGGCAAGGTCTCTGGCACAAGGAAAGCTCTCATTACTACAACACAAGCCCTACAGTCTTTCTACCACAACAGCCCTCATCTTTCAAGGCCTTGTGCGAACATTGACCATTCGCAAGATAGGTCGTCGAATTGTGGCCTCCCTCCCTGGTTATATTTGTGCCTCTGCCAGAATCTGCCTGTCTCTCCATGTTCCCAATGCGCTTCTGTGGGGCAGTCCACTCAGCCCACCCACAGAACCAGGACATCCTCAACCCCTGGGCAGCAAGCTTCCTTGAGCTCCCTGACTGCAGAATATCAGACAAGCAAAAGCATTTCCTTCCTCTGCTACTTAACCTTATGGCCCTTGGCAATATCTTGGAATGCTATGAGAACATTCAAAGAATGCTTCTTTATAATTGTCTTCTTTATGGTGGGTCTAAAATATTAATGTTCAAAAAGGAGGTAAGTGAAGTCTTAGGAAGTCCAGATCTTCATTGGGAGAATTGGGATCTTAAATGCAGTTTCTCTCAAATCTATTTCTAAATGTGCAGGAGAAAAAGTACTACTCAAGATAGGAGTTGAATATAGGAAATCCCCTAAAGCAATGGTCCCCAACCTTTTTGGCACCAGGGATCAGTTTCATGGAAGACAGTTTTTCCACAGACGTGATGGGGGAGCAGTTGGGGACCTCAGCCCTAAAGGTCATCTACATGTCATTAGGCAAAAACAAGTTCAGGTAGACTAAGTGAAAGATACCACCTTCACCATCTCTGCAAGAAATGAAAGGGCCAGGGCTCTGCGGCGTAAAGACTAGGAAGCATATTCACGACATTAACGGGCACTGCACTTGAGAGAGCCACTGGAAGAAGGCAGCAAGTAGAGATGACATGATATAGATAGGGATTCAGGACTTCTAAAGCAGAATTTTCAGATAAGGACTTTCTGTTTGACTTTTAATTAAAAAGTCTCTCTAGCTCTCCTGCCATATAAGCACTACATCAGTGCAACATAAATCCACAGAGGAAACGTGAGCACAGAACTGGAAGTAATCTCCTTACCAGACTCCAACTGTACTCTTGGTATGTTTTTTCCTCAAGTAAAGCAGTTATATGCTTACTAAGAAGAGTAAGTTTTTTTTGTTTTTTTTTTTTTTTTTGGCGACAGAGTCTCGCTCTGTTACCCAGGCTAGAGTGCCGTGGCGTCAGCCTAGCTCACAGCAACCTCAAACTCCTGGGCTCAAGCAATCCTCCTGCCTCAGCCTCCCGAGTAGCTGGGACTACAGGCATGCGCCACCATGCCCTGATAATTTTTTCTATATATTTTTAGTTGGCCAATTAATTTCTTTGTATATTTTTAGTAGAGACGGGGTCTCGCTCTTGCTCAGGATGGTTTTGAACTCCTGAGCTTGAGCAATCCTCCTGCCTCAGCCTCCCAGAATGCTAGGATTGGCATACAGGCGTGAGCCACTGTGCCCAGCTGAGAAACATTTTTAACCACTTTGGTGCGGCGCTCACAGCCGCGAAGCCTTGCCCACAGCCGGCACTCACAGTCCGAACGATGGCTTGTGCATTGACGACAAAGCCGTTCTGCTCTTGTGTGATTAGGAAAGCCTGAAAGCACTGAAAGCTTGTTTTACTTTACAGGCAGCTTTACTTGTAATGTAAACCAGAATAGGTAACATATACATATGTTTTCATTATGTTATTTTTTAATGTTCACAATTTTATTTTGATAAATGAAAAATTAGAAAAGTCATATCACGGCTGTCGGCTAAAGTCGATGTTCGGCTGTGCGCCTTCACATCACAGCTGTTGGCTAAAGTCGACGTGAGCGTTCATCTGTGGCTGTCGACTATAATTGACGCTATAGTCGACGCTCATACTGAAGTGGCTAAGCAAGTGAAGCCACTCCCTAAGTGTTAAAGTTGGTGATGTATGTACATAGTGTTGGGGAGCCTCAGAATGATGGACATTTCTGTAAGAACTCAGTGCAGTGATTCCAACTTCCATCCTCTATGGCTGCATCAACATCCCAGCCTCCTCTCAGTCTCCCCACCCAATACCACCATCCCAGCCCCCCAAGGCTCTTAAGAGGAAGCTACACCTCTGTTCAGAGGGTAGGTGTTTAAATTGTTAGCCTTTCCTGGGAACCTGAAATGGGGAAAGAAACAGCACCTGCCTTTCCCAAAGTTGATTTTTCCCTAAAAACTTTTGTCAAACCCTTTTGCACTAACTCTGTTAGTACTATGGTGTGTCCCAGCTGCTTCCCACTCTCTGTGGTCCCTTTAAGTGAAGAAGCTCTCTCACTGCTATTCTTCCAATACATTTGGGCTTCTTCCAAATCTGTCATCTAGTAAGACTCAAAGTTGATGTCCCCTTATTTCTTGGATGCAAGATCCCAAAGATCTCTAAGAGAGGTAAACTCATTGAGAAAGAACTGGATAGGAAAACTGGCTGTAACTACAGACACACACCATACCCCTCCTTAAACTTTTAAGTTGGAAAGAAAATCTGATTTCTTGGAAGCATGTCTGGTACAGAACCACGGGAATGTTCAAAACTAACTAGTTTTATGAAACTATAATTAAGACTTCAAAAAGGTCAAAGGGTTTAGAGGAGAGCTTACCAACTCTTGAGGTTGTATTAATCTTTAGGAACCTACTGTGGTATGCTAGATTTCACTGAAATGGATGTCTCACAAGAAACCTTTCTCAAAAACCCCTAAAGGTGTCTGACTTCAGCTTGAAAACCACTGCTAGGTAGCAGTTTGTTCATTGTTTGAGTCATTCCAATGATGTCTTACCTTCCTCACTTAGCTCCTGGGTGATTTGAAAACAAAGACGATTTTGTAACCAGCCATGTTACTCACTACCTGGGCAACTATTTGGCCCTACAAACGTACCCCGCCAGTATTTTCCATCATGCAAGGCAGCTGGGAAAATTTCCCAGTATTTTCCATCGTGCAAGGCAGCAGCAGAGCTTTACTGGGCTAACTAAATGACAGAGCAGGGAGGAGAACCGTCTGCATTTTGTGTGCACTACACCTTACTGCCTCCCAGACAGAACTGCTATCAAGCTCAAACTTTTCGTAGGCTAGACAGTCTCTGGAATAAAGCGATCGCGTGTACTGATGCCCCTGGAAAGTGTAAATAAAAATCTGAAGTGTCCAAAATCATGGCATACCATGTGATGTGAATATAGAATATCATTTGAATGTGTTCCTGCACGACCTAAACTCTAGTCTTGCTCAGGAAGGTGGTCGAGCTGGGAGTCCCTTCTCCCCCTGGGCCTCAGTTTCCCCTCTGTGGAGGAGGGCTGGACTTCCAGAGCTGGAACTACTGGGGCCCACCCTTTGCCCTCGGGCAGTCTGACTCTGGCTCGCCCCGCCCCCCGGGAGGCCAAGCAGTCACGTGACGGCCCGCGGGCGTCCCTCTGCAGCCGTCGCCAGAACTTGAGCCGTTTGCCAGGGAAGCGCCGGCCGCGCATGAGGCGTGCGCCAGGTCAACGTCCCAAGAGGCTTCGGGCGGAGGCCGGCAGGCTGGCCAGAGCTCCACAGGGACTACGACAGCCACCGCGCGTTCCCACAGCAGGAGGGCCAGCCTGGCGCCGGTGCAGACCACGCATGCGCGGCCACACCCCCAAAGAGTGACTTCCCCTGCCGCCCGCCGGAGGGTACTGCGCGTGCGCCTGCGCCTGCGCCGCGCGGCTCCTGGGCTCCAGGGATTAGCGTGGGGCTTACACGCGGCCCGCAGGGCGGAAAGGGGCTCTGGAGATTATCCTAGTCTAGGCCACTAGAGCAGCGGTTCCAGGCGCTTGTTAAAATCCAGATTCCCGGGCCCATCCCCAGCGGCCTGCGTAAAACCCGGGAACCTCCATTCTTGGGTGTCCCCACTGGCCGACCTGCCCGCCCGCGTCGTGGAGTGTAGGAATTGGGGCCCACGTGTGGGGCGGTTAGCGCCGCACCGCGTGAGGACTGGCGGGGGGCGCCCCCGCTGCTCTCCCCACCGGGCCGCCCTGGAGGTGGCTACGCCATAGCAGGTCTGTCTGGGTGTACCCCGCATAGTGTTCTCTTGTCTGCACGCCGTAATCACAAACAACCCAACGAGAATGTAGCATGCTCCTGTGTGTGTGTGTGTGTGTGTGTAGTGTGGGGGATGGTCTGGCCCATCCCCGTGCGTTGGATTCTGGCTCAAGTTTGGGCACGTTCAGTACAGGCAGTGGCCTCGGTCCAGGACAGCTGCATTATGTGCACAGACAGCTACTTTCGATGGTCCTGGGCGGGGAAGTGGACATTCCCTTGCATACATTCCGGGTGAGCAGAGCTGAGATCCCCTACCCCCGCCCCAACTCACACACCGCTGTTGGAGTTGGCAAGGTTCCTCCCAGAACAAAACCTGGGAGGCAGCGCTAGCCCTTATGGAGGAGAGGGGGCTTGGGTGCAGGTGCCGGGGTCCTATTTGCTCTGAGTCCCCTCCCCCAGGGGGAGGGCAGTGGGCAAAGGAGCCAGGCCTGAGAGCAGGGCCGTCCTGTGGAATGAAGCTGGGTGTTCTCAAGGCCGTGCCAACCCCCTCTTGAGAACTGTGTCATCTTCCTCTGTTCCTCCCAAATCACTGTCCTCTTTATCCGTCCTGGCCCAGCCTGGCTTGTCTCAAAACCTCAAGGCTGCAACTCTTTCCAAGCCAGCCAGAAACACAGCTGTGAGTTTCATTCCCCATGAGGGAGTTCCAACTCTCTCTCCTGGCTCCAGATGTGAAGAAACAGCTGTGGGGGTGGTGGGAAGCCCAGCTGGCAGCTAAGCAGAGGCCTGGGAAGACGGAGAACAAAGGCGGGAGAGAGATACAGGGCAGGGCTGTTAGGGTTCTAGAGACCTAGGAAAAAACCAGTTTTATCCCCTGGCCTTGCAACGGACTGGCAGGCCTTCCCAAATCCCTGCAACACTGCTCCCCAGCCCTGCCCACCCCATCCTGGCAGCCTGGGTCACTGTCGGGACCTTCTATAAACTCCATTTTCTAGTTCCCCTTAATCTGAGAAGGGAAACTTGGCTTTCTTTGTCTGACCCCACCCCTGTCCTTAAAACACACTCACATGAGATTTTGGTAACTGAAGAATGGTAAGGGAGAGAGGAAGGAAGATGGAAGAGGACCTGCCACTCCCACCTGGCATCCTCAGCCCCTCCCTCCCTCCCTCTGGGAAGTAATCCGAATGCAGGAGCCAGGCCCAGTGTCTGAACACAGGCCTGCTGCAGGCACTGCTGGCTTGCCCACGATGCCAGGTAGATAATGCGACTGGGCACCAAGCGCTGTGCTGTACCCAAGAATCAACTGCTCCCTGAATTGCCATGCTGCTATCATACCCCCACCTGTTCCCTCCCCAACCTAAAAGGATGCAGGGCATCACAACTGCTTCCGTTTTAGGAAAAATAGTTTAATGGTGGGTTTTTAACTTTTTCTCTCACTGAGGTCCCCTTCTCAGTGGAACCCCCACACCAGTGCTCTTCCCATGCCTGCTGGGAGGTAGCAGACCCTCTCTGGAGGGCACCCACCCAATCTCCATGTCCTTACCCTCCGTCTCTGTGTCTAGGCCTTCGTAAGCCCATCACATGTAAGTTTATAAAAAGTGGGCAGAACACTGTACTGTACTGGCCTCTTTCCTAGATGCCACGGGACCAGCCCACAGCACCTTCCTGCCCTATAGTTAAATAGCCCATTAAATAATCTCTTGCTGCTGGCAGAGAGGAGGTGCTGCAGCAACAAGCCCCTGCCTGGGCCGGGCGCCTGAGCCCCAGGGCCTCCACCCTGACTGGATCTGGGCTCCACAGGAGTGGCCAGTCATGGCCTCATCTCAGACCTGGCCGGTCCCAGGACTCCGTCCACAAACAGACGGCGAGTCCAAGTGGGTTATGCTGGCATCAGGCACAGCCATGGATGGGGGTCAGCCAGGCAGCAGAGCAGGCAACTGATGGGTTGCAGCTCTCGCCCAAGTCAGAAGGACGTGAGGTTCTTGACGGCTCCGATCTCCAGCATCCGCTTAATGGCCAGGGCCTCCTGGGAGACATTATGGCCGGACCCCTGTGGGAACAGCCAAGGAAGTGAACTGAGGGACTCCCAGGATCTCTCTGTCCCCAGGAAAGTCTCCCTGCCCCACTCCCCATAGCCCCACACTTCTTGGGAGCTCCCTTCCGTGTGCTGGCTCTTGGCTGCATACAGAGGATGCTGGCCACAGAGTCCAGGGGCCTCAGTTCCAGTCCTGACTCTGAATGACCTCCCTGTGAACCGCCTCTGGGTCCCAGCACACCACACTCACTCACCCAGAGTCCCTCTGACTGTCTGGTTCCCAGGCCCACCAGTTCTCACAAGCAGCTGCTTACCGCCATGGACTTGAGTGTGATCTGCTCGTAGTAATGAATAGTCTGCTTCTTGTTGTAGGCGTCTGGGTAGCCAAAGCCAGCGATGTGCACCAGGTCACACAGGTGGAGGGCCAGGGTGATGGCCAGCAAGCCTGTGGTGGGCTTCTGAGGGACAAAGAGTGGGAGGTATCAGAGCGACACCTGCTCCTCCCACCCCTCCCAGGCCAGCACTCTGCAGCAGAACGTTCTGCTGTCATGGAAACATTCTTCATCTGCGCTGTCCCGTGTGACAGCCACAAGCCTGAGCATGTGAATGGGGCCAGTGCAACTGAGGAACTGAACGTTTTATTTAATTGAAATTGTAACTAATCAAAATTTAAATGGTCACATGTGCCAGGTGAGGTGGCACACACCTGCACTGCCAGCTACTCAGGAGGCTGAAGTGGGAGAAACATTTGGGCCCAGGAGTTCAAGGCTGCGGTGAGCTGTGATCACACCTATGCATAGCCACTGACTGCCTTCCTGCCTGGGTGACAGAGAGAGACCATCTCTAGAAAAATAATAATAAATATAAATAGATTAAATTTTAAAAATAAATATAAATAAATAGCCACATGTGGCTAGTGGCGGCTACCACACTGAACAGGATAGCACCACACATCTAGGGGAGGAACGACGATGACAATCAGAACGACAATAATGACACCCTACTACTTTTTGAGTGCTAGTGTGCCAGACACTGTGCTAAGAATCTGACCTAGTATAATACGTCATCTCATCCAGTGCTCACAAAAATGCTTGGCAGTAGATACTATCATTAGTCCCCTTTTACAGATGAGAAAACTGAGGCTCAAAGGAGGGGAAAGGTTCTGCCTTCCTCCTTGGAGAGCCTCACCTCATTCAGAAGATCTGGGGGCTCCGACACTCACTAGCTGTGTGACCCTTTATGGGGGTGGGCTCTCGCCCTCTCTGAAGCAGGGCAGCTATACCTTGCCTGCCCACCGTGTGGGCTTCTCTGAGGACCTCACTTCCTCCATCCCTCATTCTTCCGCAGGGTGGGCAGCCTGATGTTCTCACTTCACGAATCTTGCCTTCCTCAGCTCTAGCAACACGCTTTGCAGATCACTTCAGCTGTCCACACCCATGTGGGGGTCACTCCTGGGCCCCGTCAAGCCTCTGCCACGGTCTCTCCCAGTGTCCCTCCTGAGCTCTCCTATCTGCTCACCTTCCGCTCCCTGCCCTGGCCTTCTTTTTCACCCTGCTGCTTTCACCACCACTGTGTTTCCTCAGCCAGTTCAGGCCCCTGCAGAAACACATTTCCATGGCCTTCTAGCCTGTTCTGCCTGGACATGGGCTCCTCAAACTCACCAAACTCCTCCTCCTCCTCCATGCACACTCTCTGTATTGGTTCAATATATTACCACCTGCCAGTTGCCCAAGCTGGAAACCTAGACTTGGTCAGAAATCCCTTGATTCCACCTGTGAAATATGGGCTGTAGCAGGCAGAATCGTAAGAGGACCCCAGTGACCCCAGCCCTCGTATAATCTCCTTTGCGTGTGTGCAGAACCTGTGAGTATGGCGAGATGGCGTTAGGTGATGTCACCTTACAAGGCACAGTTGACCACAAGAGAGGAGGCTATCCTGCTGGACTTGACCTAATTACCAGAACCTTTACATCTGGGTGTTAAGACCGAAACAGAGGAAGTCAGAGATTGGAAGCACATGAAGGATGTGTCGTGCCATCACTAGCTTGAAGAAGGAGTGGCCGTAAGGCAAGCAATGTGGGCAGCCCCCAGGAGCCGAGGGGCCCTCCTCAGCTGACAGCTGAATGGGGACCTCAGTCCTACAACCACAGGAACTGAATGAGTATGGAACCAAAATGTCCCCCTGAGCCTTGAGACAAGAACTCAGTCTGGCTGACAAACTGAGTTCAGCCTTGTGATACTCAGGGAACCCAGCCCCTCCGTGCCAACCTCGCACCTGCAGGACTATGCGCCAAGACATGGGCACCACAGGCCCCCATGCTGTGGTAATCAGTGAGCAGCAGAAGAAAATGAATGCACTGTCATTTCCCTCCCCTCCTTGGCCCTTCCTGCCACCGGGAGCTGGGTTCAGGTCCTCACCCTCTCTTACCTCCCTCCCCTCCTTGGCCCTTCTTGCCACTGGGAGCTGGGTTCAGGTCCTCACCCTCTCTTACCTCCCTCCCCTCCTTGGCCCTTCCTGCCACCGGGAGCTGGGTTCAGGTCCTCACCCTCTCTTACCCCCCTCCCCTCCTTGGCCCTTCCTGGCACCAGGAGCTGGGTTCAGGTCCTCACCCTTTCTTACCTCCCTCCCCACCTTGTCTCCATCTACACCCCGTCCTGGTGCAGAATTCCTCCTCGATGCCACACAACTCTTCTGCACTAGCACAGCCCGGTGCTGGAAGAGCTGCTGGCTCTCCCCAAATGGAACGCCTTGCCCAACCCTCTGTCCAGCGAGCTGCCGCAGGAGCCTTGCCGCCTGGCTCCAGCACCGCCTCGCCTGGGGAGCCACCCAGACAGCCCTGGGCAGACCTCCGAGGTCCCACAGCGGCACTTGACCACTCCACCGTGCAACCTGCACGCTTACTCTGCTGGACTGAGTTCCCTTAGGGCGAGGGGAGCGCCCTGCTCCCCAAGCTACAGATGTGGGCCCAGCACTGAGCAGTCACAAAGGCAGGCGTTCAACGTGTGCAGCTAAGTTCACACATGGATGTTCAGTAAAGTATAAAATAGTCTGTTCAAAGTCTGTCAAATATTTATGGAGCAGGCACTGTGTGCTGATCTCCATAAGAGGTATTTTACATGATTGTTTCTTTAAATCCTACAATGGCCTTCAGAGGTCAGTATGGATATAATCCCCACCATACAGACAAGAAACCAAGGCTCCGAGTGGCTGACCGGCCAAGCTAACGGAGGCAGGCATAGCCATCTGTGTGATCTACCTCTTTTCCCTGAGGGGCTCCAGATGCATGTGGAAGTACTTGGGAAGCTACAAAGTGGGTTAAAGCCCACCAGCTGAAGACCACCAGGGCACTGAAATCAAAACCATAACTTGCATAGATGCATCATGACTTCCAAGAATTGACACACTGTACCAAACTATGACATGCAAGACAAACTGTTGAAGCACAAACTCTTTTAACTCACTCAGACCAATATGTTCCAAGATAGGATCACAGACCAAGTACCTAACAGTAACTCTGCATGGGCTCAAGTTGTTCCATGGACGAGACCGCTAGACTGAGCAGCTCCCCAGTTTACAGATTCTAACCAGCGCTGGCCAAAACCATCCTCTCACTTCAGCCCCCAAACCGGACACAGACCCTTCCCCTGTCCCCACTTTGAAGATGCCCCACAGTTGTCCAAAGTGTGCTCTTGCTGACTGCAGCAAGCTAACAAGCCTATCTTTGATTAGAGGTGTGTTCCTGGAGGTCAAATGCAAGCTGCTGTCTTGCTGTTATTATTGTCCCCTCTCATGGGTCCTCCCATGGCCTCCTAAGCCTACAGGGACGTCCCACCTACTTCCCGCCCATCAGGCCTGGCATCCCCATGCCCAGCCATCATCACCTGCTTGATCTTTCGTGGCTGCTGCATTGGCAGGCTCAGCAGCTTGTCAGCCGCGATCTCCATGAAGAAGGGGTTGAGAATCCGAATCTGTTTGGGGTTGACTTCCCAGATGAGGGGAGGCTGTTTCCAAAAACCTTTTCGCACCTAGGAAGATGGAGTCAAAGGGAGAGAGAGAAGGTGAAGACATGTCTCTCAAGTCCAACCCAGTGGCCTGCAGCCAGGGTAGAGTCCAGGAGGTGGCAGAGCCCTTCGGGAGGGCAGGGCAAGAGGAAAGGAGGTGCAGTGTATGCCTGAGGAGGGAGACCAGAGGAGAAGACCAGGGAAAGACAGCAGGAAGGGAGGCTTGGGGAGGCTGGGTAACCAGGTGAGTAGAGCACAGGGTCCAGTCACAGCCCCTCTCCAAGGATACCCTAACAGGAGGCAGAGGCTCAAGTCTTAGGCTGTCTAAAAGTAGCAAAAATGCCAGCTCAGATGGCTCAGCGTTAGAGTGGATGGCAGAGTGATGTGTGTGCTCCTCCTGGGGTCTGTCTGTTAGGGCACAGACCCCACTGTCCCAACCTGCCCCTGCCTGGAGATGGCTGCTGGAGGGTCGTGGCTCCCAGGTTCCTCACAGGCAGACACACACTCTGGCGGCTCTCCTGGCCCAGATATCCACCAAGCGTGGGTGCCTGGGCTGCTGCCACCTGACTCTCGTGGGCCTGTAGCCCAGCTGCTGGGGAAGCCGGTCAGAAGCCCAACAGAACACTACCCTCGGCAGGAGGCCTGCCTGCAGGGAGCCTGGGCCACGCCGTGCCCTCCCCGGCTCTTTAGGGCTGCAAGGCAGATGTTGTGGAGCCTGAGGTCCTGACTCGGGCAGTGTCTCCGTCCCCCCAGTCCATCCACTTACCCGCTTCTTATCGCTCAGGATAGTCTCGATCCAGTGGAAGTCCATTGCCTTGAAAGCCACCAGGACAAGAAGTGTGTCTGGGTTGTTTTCCACTTTGGGGTCAAAGTGGGCAGATTCAGGGTAGAAGAGACGCATGGTGGTCTTGGAGCCCACGTCGCCCTCATAGCCAGCCACTGGGGCGTTGTTCAGTCTACAGGGGAGGAGGATGCCCATCACCACAGCCCCTGGGCCTGTTGACTGCCCCGTGTGGGACACCGGTCCCCACGCAGAAGTAGGAGGAGACAGGCACACACCTGATGACCACATCGTACTTGTTGATAGCGTCTCCCAGCGAGCTGTTGCGCAGCCGGTGCCCGTTCCCCACCACCACGCAGCGGCGGCACTTGAGGCTGCCACAGGAAGAGGGGCGATCAAACCCAGAGGAACCCCGCTCCACCTCATCCTTGCTGCTCTGCCTCTGCCCGGGACCCATCTCAGGATCGGTGCCCAGCCCCCCTCAGCCCCTGGTCCCAAGTGGTCCTGCCGATGGCCATGCTGGCTCTGCAGCCCTGGGCCCTAAAGGAAGAGGAACCCGAGCAGAGCAGGGGAGAGAGGTGGAGAGAAGGCACGTGGGGTGCGTTCCTGCAGGGCTCCTTGCTGCTAACACCCCCGGCAGCCTCTGCCTGCTCAGCACCTGATGCCCAGGCTGTGACTATTTCACACCAGGGCAGGAAGGAGGAGAAGGCCCCTGGCATGGGGCAGAAGGAGCTCTCCTTACCTCTGGATGCTCTGGGGCACGGAGTGGCTGGTGATGGCTAGCACTCGGAGGAGCAGGTCTTCTACAGAAAGAACCGATGGAGGGGCTGGCCCGACAGCTGGTGCTCTGCAGGCTAACTGCCCTCCCTCCACTGTCCTCAGAGTCCTGGCTGCTGTCTCCCCACCACCTCCCAGCTCAGAATGTGGGCACTGGGGCCGTGGATGGCAAAGAACAGGAAGAACAGGAAGCAGTGTGGCCAATGTGAGCCCACCATTCCTGTGGGCCAGGCGGGAACATACCACTCCCTTTGGTCCCATAAGGCAGCTCGTAGGCAGACGGTGTCTTGACCCAGAAATAATCCTTAAGCTGCAGGAAGATGGGCTGATCTCGGGAGTAGCTGCAAGAGGTGAAAGCATGGTGGGAATGAGAAAGGTATTAATCCTGATGCCAGAAGCAGGGTCAGGGCCCTGACTGGTATTAGAAGGCTCCCCTTCCCTCTTGGCTCCACTTAACCCAGGTCTACCTTCTAGCCAGCATGAGGCCCCGCGCTGTGAACCCCTCAGGCCCAGCTCACTGCATGTCCTGTCCCCCACCTCATGTGCTTACTTGCCGAAGAGCTTAGAGGCCTTCCTCTCTGCCTCACCCTGGAGGCACGGCTCCCTCTTCTCTGGGATGGGAAAGTAAAAACTGGAGACAGAAAAGGAGAGGGAGCTCCAGTCAGACCCAGGAACCCAGGAGCAGCACTACAGACAGTCTCAGCCCTCTCCCATGGCACAGAGGTCCAAGGGCCAGAGAAGGACTTGTGTAAAGACATCTCAGCCCAGTTTCACTTTGAAACAAATCACTGAGATCCACCTCTTCCTGCCTCTGCACTCCCTGTGAGGGCTCAGGGGAGTCATCCCACAGTCTACCCGAGACCCACAAAAGGATCCCCACCAGTAGCTGAAGGCGAGAGGCCATGCCCTGGCTGTCCCACTAGGTCCTGCAACCCACAATGCTTCATCCCTAAGCCTGAGAAGAACCGATAGAAGGACATGGAAGTTGACTCACAGCTCCATGTACCTGTCTTCTCGGGAGATGGAATACCACACCATGACGACCAGCACCAAAGCCAGCATGGCCAGCAGCTTCCAGCCTGCAAGGCACATGCACAGAGGAGCTGGAGGCAGAGACAGGCAGGTACAGACCCTGCCCACCCTCCCACCTGCCCCGTTCTGGGCCCCTCCAGCTCCCAACTCAAGCAGAACCATCCCTGGCCCCCTCCGGGCCCCGGGCTCAGGGCGTGGACCTAAGTGTCCGCTGTCCTTCAAGATGAAGAGAGGGGCCCCTGGCTCCCCGTCTGTCCCTCCACAGCTCCCAGGATACTGCTGAAGACTGCTTCTGGAGCCTGTCCATCAGGGCGGGGGCTCCAGCGCAACACTCACGGGACTTGCTGATCATGTTCCTCAGCAGGCAGCAGGGTTCCTGGGGAGAGCTGTCATCCCGGCTGCCTCGGGCCACCTAGGAGATAGGAGTCACAGGCATCTGTCTGGTCGGCTCCACAACACTCCTGCTGAGACACTGGAGCAGGACTCACCCACCACCCAGCCTGCTCTCCTCCAGAGAGCACAAAGCTGCCCTTGAGGGGCCATCTCCAGAAGGTCCTTTCTCAGCCCAGGCACTCCGCCAACTCCGCGAAGGGCAGGGTCCTCACAGACCGCGTCTCAAGCCAGGCTGACCTGCTCTAGCATCTCTGGTGTGTTTCTCTCCCTGTCCTATTCCACATTTTGACCTAGGAAGGGCCCTCTCTGGGCAGGAGATGGCTACATCTGCCCACTGTTGACACAAAAGTTAAGCTAACTGTGAGGGACTGATTCATATTTTGCCCAACCGAAGTTTCCTCATTCTCCACCATCTGCAGCATCCCTTGGGCTGGCTACCGCCCACCTCTCCCCATCCTCAATCTCCCCCAACTCCACCTAACATGTCTGCGTGGGCCAGAGGCCAGAGTGGGGGTGGGCTACTCCATGGGCTCACGAGGCTCCTCCAACCCTCCAGACCCGGACCAAACGCAGACAGCGCCCGAGCCTCACCCCAAGCCGACAGTAAGTCAGTGAAGGAGTTTGAACGGGGACGCAGGTAGCCAGGAGGGTCCGGCTGGTCCAGGAGGAGTTGGGAGGTGGCGAGGGAAGGGCACACATGGGAAGGGCGAGCTGCTACATGCACGCAGGCAGAGGCTTCCCAGCAGTCACCAACGTTGCCAGGGCCACGCTGCTGAGCCACTGCAGAGGAGACTCCACAGCCACACGAAGAGGCAGAAGATGCCCAGGTCCAGTTTCTAACATCCACATCATGTTTCCCTAATGATCTGGATCCAAAGAATCACCTGGGCCCTTCCCTGGACACTGTCTCAGGCAGCCCAGGTATTGCCAAGGGAAGGCATGTGCCCAAGCAGCCCAGGTGACTCCTATTAGTCAGGAAAGGGAGGGAACCCCTGATGTTTGTGCTCTCTGGGGATAAATAAAAAACCTTCAGTTATTTCTCAGGGGCAGGGAGCATCTGCATGGAGTCTATGCTGCAAATCACAGATCAGCAGTCCTGAACACCGTCCTATAGTCAGTGCTCTGCTCCCCATCACGGCACCCCCGGGACCCACTCCAAGTCCACAAACACTACAGAATGAGAGTCCTGAGCCAGGCAGGGACCAGGTCAGACTCCCTAGCAGGCTCAGTAGCACCTGTCTCCAAGCCCCAGAGGGGATGGAAAATGGCCCTATCCAGTAAGGAAAGATTTGTGATCAGATGTCCCCAGTTACAGTCACTGTTCTAGTAACTCCCTTGACAGCTGTCCTGGAAGTGGCTGCCTTCCCTATGCCCACAGCGGCCTCCAGCCACGTCCTGCCACATGGCTCTCCTCTCCCTCACAGCACTTCTCCAATCTGTAATTAGCTTTGCTGCCTGTGTTTGCTTTTTGTCTGTCTCCCCCTTTGAGATAGATGCCTGTGAGGACTGGGTTGGGGTCTGTCCTGCTCTCAACTCTAGCTCCAGCCCCCAGCCTGCAGCCAGCACGCCGGAGGGTGACTGTGGATGGCCATGCCTTCTGCTCTGACCTGCAGTTTGCCCTGCTGTCAAGCCGGGATGCCAGTCTAATAGATCCCGCTGCTCAAAATACATGAGATAAGCAGCACAGGCATCACAGGGCCCTTATTAAAAAGGCAGAGTCTTTGGCCTTCTCCAGATGTATAAAGTCAGGCTGCATTTGAACATGATCCCGGTGATTCACCTTCCAGTCTAGAAGCACTGACTAAGGCGGGTATTCTTGACTATGGTTGGGCAAGAGAATCAACTGGGGTACTTAAAAAACATTTTTTAAAAGATGAGTGTCTGGGTACCACACCTAGGAATTCTGAGTCAACTGATCTACCCAGCACCCCAGGAGTTCCACGGCCTGGATGCTCTCTGAAGGATCCGACACCGACTTCCCGAACTTCCTGTGCACATCTGACTCGCCGGCATGATGGCCCCACGGACCTGCATTCCACCAGCTTGCCCGGGGCCCTGCTGCTTGGCCGGACCACACTTGGAGTTGCAAAGTTCTGTGCTAGGATCCTGCAGCTTTAACGTTCCAGATTCAAGAGCTGTATCCGCTCCCACCCTCCCTCCTTTCTCTCTTAGTCTTCCTTCTATGAGTGGAGTTCACTCCATCTCCCTTCACATCAGCTGGTCACAGCACTGGCTGCACAATGCATTGAATGACCTGAGGAGTTTATAAATACACAGATGTGTAGGACTCAGTCTCCCAGGTTTTCATTTAATTGGTTAGGGATGGGGCCCAGGCATTAGTGGTAAAAAGCAGAACAATAAAAGACCCACCTCCTCTATGTCCAACATGCAGCCAAGATGGAAACATCACACAGAGCACGTTCCACCCTCTAGGCCCACCTCGAGGGAGGAGACCTTTGGGTCAGAGGTGAGCGACCGTCCTGAGCAACAAGACAACTAGCCCTTCTCTGACCTCTTCCCCAGTAACGTCCTGCATTGTCTTGTCTTTATTCCCAAACCGGCCAGTGTTGTGCTGTGCAGACTGGCTAGTCTTAGGGCTTGCTCCAGTAGACCCAATCAGGGCTTTATCGAGCCTAGCTCTCCCCTTGTGGGGTCAAGAGGATTGCTCAAGCCGGGCACAGTGGCTCACGCCTGTCATTCTAGCTCTCTGGGAGGCCACGGCGGGCGGATTGCTCGAGGTCAGGAGTTTAAAACCAGCCTGAGCAAGAGCAAGACCCTGTCTCTACTATAAATAGAAAGAAATCAATTGGCCAACTAATATATATAGAAAAACTTAGCCGGGCATGGTGGCGCATGCCTGTAGTCCCAGCTACTCGGGAGGCTGAGGCAGTAGGATCGCTTGAGTCCAGGAGATTGAGATTGCTGTGAGCTAGGCTGACGCCACAGCACTCACTCTAGCCTGGGCAACAAAGCGAGACTCTGTCTCAAAAAAAAAAAAAAAGAAGATTGCTCAGAGGCCCTGGCATTCCAGGGCTCCTCAGGTTGGCTGCAGCACTGGGACAACTTGGCGCCTCTCCCGGCAGGGATCTCTCCCACGTTGCTGTTGGAGCTCCCAGGTAGGAAAGGGCAGGGAAAGTCACAGTAGGGTGCCTGGGTGGGACAGCAGGCATCTGATCCATTCATGTCCAAGGTGTACCAGCCTCTGCCTATGACCAGCTGCCAAGAAGACCAGCTCAGCAACCTGCAGGGCAAAGCTGACCCAGGCAGGAAGACTATCTGCCTGCTTGGCGCTCTGCCAAGAACAAAGAAGTCCCTGGCTGAAGTGAGCTGGTGAGCTCTGCTACAGAACTCACCAAAGGGCAGAACCTGGGGCACATGGGGAAGAAATATGGCCTTGTAGAGGTAGGAACCATGCTTCATGCTGGCCCAGCACTAACAGCTGAACAGAGAGACACAATGGCACCTGCTGGACTAAAAGGAGAACTACAAACCCCTGGGGCAGAGACTGATGCCTCAGAGCCCCTGAAACCATCAAAGGGATATGGCTTAATGCTCCAGAGATGGGGCCTGGGAAGACAAGGAAGGAGGGGGGCAGAAGCCCAGGTTTCCTTACTGGTTCTGTGATCTTTTTGAGACAGAATCTCACTTTGTTGCCGGGCTAGAGTGCCGTGGTGTTAGCCTAGCTCACAGCAACCTCAAACTCCTGGGTTCAAGCAATCCTCCTGCTTTAGCCTCCCAGGTAGCTGGGACTACAGGCATGCGCCACCATGCCTGGCTCATTTTTTCTATATATATTTTTAGTTGTCCAGATAATTTCTTTCTATTTTAAGTAGAGACGGGGTCTCACTCTTGCTCAGGCTGGTTTCGAACTCCTGACCTTGAGCAATCCACCTCCTCGGCCTCCCAGAGTGCTAGGATTACAGGCGTGAGCCACCGTACCCAGCCTGCTTCTGTGATCTTAAACAAACATTCAGTCAAACCATCCCTCAGTTCTGTAGGGAAAACCTGGAGCTGCCTGCCAGCTCTAGGCTTGTCTGCCACATCTCTCCCACTAACCCTCCAGCTGGACACAGGAACCTGTCCTCGCCTCCCAGAATCACTTCCCATCGATGCCCCTCAGCCCTGTGTCTTCCATCTCCTCCCTTCTCTGCTCTCTTTGACCCATACACACACTCAAATCTCCCTCTCCCTGAAAGAACAGCAAACCTGCCTTGTCTTTTTCTGCAAGCCAGCCCTGCCTCTCCCTCCTTCCCCCTCCTCCTCTTGCTGCTTCCTCCCCTCCCCATCTCCCCTGCACCCCTCATCACTCCCCCAACTCAGTCTGAATTGCTCTGGCTGAGGCCGCCAGAGGTCTCCTAATTGCCAAACACAGGAAAGGTCTATTTTCAGTCTTCGTTGTACCCTGAGGCTTTGGCAGTGCTGGCCTTCCCTCCTGCCTGGCCTCTAGGTGAGACCTCCACCCCGTTTCCCCCGTCTCTGAGCTGGTTCTGCTGCCTCTGCCCGCATGCTCTGGAGATCTGTCCTTGAACCTCTGCCCTCCCTCACCCCCCACTGAACATTTTCACAGGACAAGTTCATTCATTTTCAGAGGTTTAACTACTATTTATACACTGATGATTCAACCTATTTTCAGCCCTAATTTCTCTTTCAGACTCCATCCTAATATTTCTAGTTTTTTCCTGGATAATCTTAAATTCTTCAAATGGAAGAAGATGTCCAAAGCTGCACTCACCTCTTTCTGCTTCCCCAAGCCCCATATCATCATCAACTCAGCTTCCTCACACCTTCCTCTTCTTCACATGCCCCTGCTAGTACTATCAGCTCTGCCTCAGGTGCTCACCCCAGCAAATGCTGAGCTCCCACACACATTTGGCATCAGAGGAGGCAGTGGGATGTGACACTTTGTGAAACTCAGCCCCAATGTAATGGCCACATAGCCTAGACCCTGGGAAGTACCGCGAGTGAAGCCCTCCATCCCCACCGGGACCACAGCCTGGCTCTAGACCCACCCACGGTAAGGCTTCCCAGCAGTCTCTTTACCACGCCTTTCCTCCCTCAAGCCCCTTCCTTGAAGCTGCCAACACTGTACCTAAGAGACCATATGGATTAAACCACCTTTTGCTTCTGCTGCTCCCCGTGCCCTATATAAAGAGCCAAAGCCCCTGAGCAGACGGCCAGGGCCCTGCACACCCGCCACGGCCTTGCAGACACAGCCCTCCTCTCCGCTCAGGCACACCCCAGGAGCTGCCTTTCCTGCCATCCGGCAGCTTCCACGCCGTGCTCTGCCCAGGCTCTCCTGTACTGAAACACCTGCTATGGTCTAAACGGGATCTCCAGTGTCCGGCACTGTGGGAGTGAGCTCCTTATAGAAGGACAATTCACCCTCGTTCTCCCCTCTTGCCCTCACCAGACGTGACCCCTCGATCTTGGCCTTCCCAGCCTGTAGCACTGCGAGCCAAACAGACTTTTGTTCAGTGCAAATTATCTAGTCTGTGGTATTCCATTAGAGCAGCACAAGATGGGCTGAGGCAACCCGTCCCTCCTCCCACCCGCCCGCCTGGACAACCACTCCTGCAGCAGCCAGCCCGAGGGCTCCTCCTCTGTGGAGTCTTTCATAACATCTCTAAACACCTGATGATTGTGTTCCCACAAAACATTGAGTGTAATTTGATTTCAGCACATACAAGTAATGAAATTTTATAGTATATAATTCCTGATTTTCATGTCATGCCCATTATCCTGTAACTTCTGAAACTGGAGACTTTTTCATACCAAGAACCTTTCAGAGTAACTGGACTATAGAAGATGTTTTATCACATAATGTGATTTGATATCATATCTCCTTTCATGTCTTCCCCAGACACTACGACTCTGTGGTCAGGAACCTCTTTGTATCTCCAGATCCTATTATAGTGTCTATAATGCCGCAGATGTTTTGTAAATATCTGACAAACAAGTAGTAACACGAGAATAAAGACGCGTTACATTTCTTACTAAGAAGTGAAATGTACTGGGTGCTTACAACGTGCAAAACCAAGATCTCTCAACCTCTGCACCACTGATTTTGGGGGACAATGGCTCACTGCTGTGGGGCTGTCTTGTGCACCACAGGACATTTAGAAGCATCTTTGGCTTCTACTTACAAGATGCCAGTAGCAGCCTCCCTACATTCCTCAGTTGTGACAAAAAAGGTCACAGATACTTAAGGGCTGCGAAAGTATTATCTGCACCCAATGAGTTAAACACTCACGGGGACACAGGGAACTAAGGCTCAGAAAGGGCAGCTGATCAGGCCAGGCTGTATCGCTAATGAGGAGTCCAGCTAGGACTGGAGGTCTGGTCGCTTCACTGGAACCCTCACTGCCCCCCACCTCCTGCCCCCAGTGAAACCCACCATGGGGCCCTGGCCCCTAGACCTCAGGTGCCTGCGTGTCCACCTCCTGCCCTGCGGAGCAACTGGGGCTCTCGTGTGCCCAGGTCCTTCCCGGGCTTCAGACAGCTATAAAGCTCTGCCCCTTCTCAGGCAGGCCCCACCCCACAGCCCAGCGCCCTCTGGAAGCTCTCTAGTCTGTGTCGTGTGCTCACAGCTGGACGCCAGGCTGCCATGAATGCTGTGGCACAGCCTGAATCCCCCCGCTGGCCAGCCAGGTCTCCTGGGCCCTGAACCCCTCTGGCTACTGTTCTGGCCTCAGCACGGGGCTGCTGTGCCTGCTTCCGCGTGTGCCACCACCTGCCCAGGAGCGTGAGCCGCAGTGGCGTCAGCAGCCCACAGCCATTCCTCTAGCACAGCGTCCACGTCTAGCCAGCATTCCAGAGGGGACTCGAGCTGGACGGTGAGTTTATGGTAATTAACACGACCACTAGGTGAGGCAAGGTGAGGATGCAGGCCATGGCGCTTGTCACAATCCACCTTCCTCAGCATCCTGGCACAGATGGTCAACTCACGGCAATGCCCCAAGATGGACTAGTCACCTGGATCACCTCTCCTCAGTCAAATCCTGCTGTAGGCTCCTCATAACACTTAAAGGGAGAGCCCGCGGGCTTGCCCTGAGCCTTAGAGACCCATGTGGTCTACTGGCCAGCACCTCCTCCCTCCATCCCTAACTCTTCCCTGCTGCTTCTGTGCTACCTGCACAGGACACTAGGTCTTCATGAGGCTGGCCAGGCACAGTCCCCCTCTGGGCCTTTGCACTTTCTGTTCTCGCAGCTGGAATGCTTTTCCCCCAGACACAGGCTGGGATATCTATTCCTCCATCTCTGTACTCACTACTCCACTTCCCAGCAACACCCAACACTGTAGGTCCCTCCCCTGTTTGCAAAGAGCTTGTTGCTTTGCTCACTGCTATATCACCTGCATCCCGGACAGTGCCTGAAACACAGTAAGCCCTCAGAACAAATTTGCTGAGTTAACATTAATAATGCACCTATTCATCCAGATGACATCACCAAGTGCAGGTGGAACAAGAGTGGAAGAGGCAGTAACAATAGGTCAGATCCCCTCTGGCCTCTCTGGCTCAGCCCCTGGCTGGACACTGCCCTTACCCCATCCCTGAACACTGTGATCACAGCATGCCTGGGTGTGGGGAGGCTCCCAGGATCACTGAAGTCAGCAGAGAGCAGAAGAATGAACCAACTAACAGCCCCAAGGACACTGGTGGGAGGATGGGGCATCTCTTAAGCCATCCAAACTCAGAGGAAAAGTGGCCAGACAGGC